CTTAAGCTACTAACACGAAAAACAAAATAATGAGAGCTAATAAAAAAAGCAATCTGTAAACTACAACCTTCTCGCTGGCTCTGTCAGTTTTTCAGTATCTCTGCGTGCCACACAACACACTTGCCAAAAGCTTGAGAGTTTGTCTTTTAAGATAATATACTGAAATATGTAGCTTCTTTCCACATTATATCATGATTGCCATCTACTCTCCTTGTAGCGCGATCAACACTATAACTAATACACCAAATGAACTCATGTAAAGATGACCAATAACAATCGCAAAACCCTCACTCACTTCCACCACTTCCCGTAGCTTAATTCTCTAACTTGAATTCAGGGACCCTCGATCTACCGCTACATAAGCTTAAATTAATTACTTGCCTCGGACTCAGATCCACAAGAATCAAATAGCATTACGTGGTACTACATACACACGATCCTCAAAGCCGAAGTCTTTGAGCATGAAAACCCTAGGGACAGAATCAATCAGACACCAGCAATGACATGTAGATCTAAGGAGGCAAGACCGATTGGGAATAAGAAGGGGTAGAGAGGGAAGGAAGTACCTCTCCTGGCCGGCAGTGTCCCAGATCTGGGCCTTGACGCTCTTGTGCTGGATGACGAGGGTCCTCGTCTGGAACTCCACCCCGATGGTGGCCTTGGAGTCGAGGCTGAACTCGTCACGCGCGAATCGCGCCAGGATCTGCGACTTCCCCACCGCCGAGTCCCCGATCAGCACCACCTTGAACACGTAGTCGATTTTCTCGCTGCCGCCGCCCGCCATTCCCCGAGCACCACCACCGCGCTCGAGGGCTTCCCCTGTTTCCACCGGCAGAGTAGAGCCGAACGTAACACCACGGAGCGACCCGATCACTTTCGCTGTAGCTTCCGTAGTCTGCAAGGCGTACTTCTTAAGGACTGTGTTACTGAGTCCCTTCACCGACTAATCTGCAAGGCGGACTTCTTAAGGACAGTGTTGCTGAGTCCATTCACCGCCGGTGAGGGGTAAGTGGCTCAAAGAGTTTGTCATTGAGGAGTGGCTTCCTACCCGCGGAGGTACCTGCATTGTGAATGGCCATGGTAGCGGCTTACTCGGTGGATCCCAGGGGACCTCCATTAGCAGCCTGGTTACACTTTACGTCACAACGGAACAGTGAAATCTTATTTTATAAAATAATGCTCTCGTGACCACGGCAACAAGTAGTGGGAAACGGAGTCGGCTCGGCGCGTGTTACGGCCGCGGGCGACCGCATTGTGTAACGTGCGCGCGCGGGTGGGATTCCCTATATATATATACATATATATGTACATATATATATATATACATATATATATATGTATATATATGTACATATATGTATATATATATATATGTATATATATATATATGTACATATATGTACATATATATATATATGTACATATATGTATATGTATATATATGTACATATACATATATATATATATGTATTTATATGAATGTATATATATATATATATATATGAATATATATGTATAATACACATGTATGTATATATATGTATATATGTATCTATATGAATATATATACATATGTATATATATACATATATATTTATATATATGTATAAATATATATATAAACTATAATTCGAAAATCTGATTTCACTAATTTAATTTAAATATCGATAATATAAAAAATATACCTAAAGAATGAGATTTTTTTAAAAAATAATACAGAATCTAAAAAAGATCAATATGTGTTATCTAAATATATATATGTTATTTTTTTAACTTTCTCTATCATAAAGGAACAATTTATTATTGTACCAACCTCTAAATTTTATGACTTAAATATCAATATTATCTATTTGAAAACACAAACTTTCAAGGTTGGTGTAGGCTTTGCATAGATTTTTCACATATGGATGCTTATGACTTAATTGCATACATTCAAAACTTTTATAAACATAAAATTTAGTGTTTAAAAAATATGATTTATAATATATACTGATCCGATAGAGGATCAATATAGATAATACATCAGTATACCCCTATTCCGGTATATTTGACACCGACACATCTACACATATCGATAAGATGAATCATGATAAAAAATACTATGTGAAGTTGAAAATATTCACATTTGATGATGAATATAGCAGAAAATTATAAAATTTACCATCATTATTATCTAAATCATCATTAGACAATAAGAAATACTAAATCCAGATAATGCCTTCCACAAGTTCTTTACAAATTGGTATATACAGAGGAGGGATGCTGCTGATTTGTTGGCTGGAGTGACACAAGTCCATTGGCTCAAGAACAAGGATGCTTCTGCCATGATGTGAAGCTACTCTTGCAAATAACATTGTTGAATATGATAAGAGCAACATAGCCTGATTCTAAGATACTCCTGTTTAACCAAAGAATAAGAAACCATGTCATAGAGGGACTTTCGCATTGTCTGGCAAAAGACAATAGTTGTCATTGTAGACAGCCTCATGAGGCCAAAGAGACTAGCTTGATATGAACATCCACCACTTGTATAAACCAAAGCCATAGGTCAGGCTCATTACTAACACTCTCAGGGGACATAAGTGAAATCTGCATTCGAAAAGACAGTAGAGGAAACATTAGTCATGATTTAATTAGAAAAAGATTAACATGTTTTTAAATGTTAAATAAGAATCTTTTACATGACCAAATGTCACAAGATTAATGCAGTCAGACTTCTTCACTGATAAGAAGGTAATAAGAATACTAAAGGTACAGATATTAAGAGAAGTTCTATAAATAATAATCTGTTATTTAGGCACATATGTTGGCTTCTTGCATCATTTTCCCACCATTGAGCTCCACACAAATAACAAATCTATTTAAATCAAGAGTGATATCTTTTTATTTTCTTTAAGGCTTATTCTATTTTTCTAACAACATTAATACTAAACAACTGATCTCGTACCGACTCATCTCTAAACATCTACGCGGATATCATACAAATATATGCATACCATCTTACACAGTTTTTTCATATTGAACTACACTTAATTGTTCCAGAACAAAGTCTAGATCCAACACTTGCTACATCAAATGATTTAGTAAAAGATTTTAATAGGTATTTAAATGTTCAAATAAAAACCTTTTAGGTATGAGCAGATGGTCAAGGGAACAAAGACACAACAAGATCAACTCATAGGAGTGGAAAGTCAGAAGAATATTAGAGTCAGTATTCTTCATTGATGTAAGAAAGTTAGAAGAATATTAGAAACAAAGAAATTAAGAAAAGTTTTATAGATTTAATCTATTAACTTATGCAAAAACATCTTTCTCTATAAAGTGATATCTCAACTATTTGAGGTTAGCTACTTTGAATCTTTTCCCACCATTCAGCTCCATACCATATAATTTATATTTATATTTCTCACAATACTAACAATTCAATTTTTCCTCATTTTGGTGTGAATTTAATTGTTCAAGAAAGAAACCTAGACGCAACAGTTGCAATGTCAAAGGAGAAAAGCTAACTAGTACTGGACATGATGCCAGCGCTTAACAGCATCACAAATCTTGTTTCAGGTTTCCATCTTCCCGAGATGCAGTTTGGAATCCTCGGTTTCCTTTACAGATTCATTAGCCAAGCACATCAAGATTCTTTCAATGGGAACCCATCAAGATCCACTCAAGAGTCAGTTTGATCGTCTGCAACAATAGCCTCTGCCGGAAAGAAACATCTAATTTTGATCAGAGGAGGCCAAACTTTTAGATCGAGAACGCTGGACCTCAGATGAGTGCAACATAGATTTATGCAGCTTGTGATCAGGCAAATTAAGGTCAATCGGACACCAAGCCTAATCCCCCTAGGCGAGGATGATCAAATTGGAAGATTTCGAGTTAATGAGAGAAAGCGAATCACCAGAAGAACGAACTAAAAACTTTCCCCGGTCGACGACTCAAAGGTCTCAAAAGAGAACCAAAGAAAGAGAGGGGTCGGGGTCGGGGTCGGGGTCGAACCTCGAGCTGCCGGGGGCCCGGTCGGCTGCGGCGGCGGTTCTCCGAGCGGGCATGGGCGTGAACCACTGCGAGAGGTCCCGGTCGAAGTACTCCCAGTCGGGCAAGAGGAACCCGGCGATGCCGACGATCCCGAAGGCGTAGGTGACCAGCGCCTTCTTGGGGGAGAAAGTCCAGATCCCGACGACGGCCATCACCGCGGCCAGCGCCACTAGGCTCGTCCGCAGCGCTGCTTCCCGCCCCATCTCCGCCCTTCAGTTCTTCGTTCTCTTCAACCAATGATACTAACTCCAGAATAAGTAGCAAGAGAAGGGAGAAGAACAGAGACGAGCCTCTTGGGGGGCGGGGTGGGTGCAGGGCGTGCGTCTGAGTGGGCAGAGGGGCGTCACCTTCCCGGCCATTTAAAGCGACCCAACTGCCCGCGCGCCCATTCCCGTGCAGATCTAAGCTCACGTTATATGCATCAGATATGGCTATTATTAATGAGAATGCTTTGTGGCAAGATATGGCTATTATGTTGGTGGGTGTTAGATGATCCGTCAACTGTCAGGTTGCTCAATCATAAGACGGCTGGGGACCAACATCGTTGTATTTATAGAGATAAAGACTGCATACATTAGCCTCTTTCAATTATAGTGAGTGACAGTAAAATATAAAATTGATTGCTAAAGAGGGAGATCCATTTGAGTATGCATCTCTTTATTTAGGGAACAATTTATGAGACACATTTCATGTAATTACAGAGAATTTCTTTATAACCTGTACAAGCAACTCACACATGAAATGAAGGTTTGGAGTGAAAATTATTGCCTACGGAAAATTACCATATGTACATACTGGAGAAGCTACATAATAATTTGTAATATGCTAATAAGTAATAGAAAGAATATAATGTTTGTGGTACAATGGCTTGAAGGAATCGAAATTTCTGAGGAATCTTATGCTGCTAGAAACTTTGAAGCCTCCTTCAAAGCTCCACTGTCATGTCAATGCCAGCTTCTTCCACAAACAAAAATGCATCAATACAATTACTAAGCTATAAGATTTCCGGGAGAGTACAGTTCATCAAACACACCTTTGCCTCTCACTAAGGCTGCAACACTTGCTGTGAGAGCAAGATCCGTGTCATAACAGAAAAGCTCAGGATGGTTGACCAGGGAAATGAAGCCAGTGGTCTCATGATATCTTCTTCCAGCTATCCCGGTTCATCTCTCTATAACAAAATCTAATTACATCTGCATATTGATCTAGATATCGTGTAGCATGGTATCGATAATTTAGGATTTCTTGCAATGTTCATCATCATATGGTGGGGGGACACCAAAGACCCAGTCGAGCACATTCAAATACTTTGACCGGAACACCTCTCTTTCTTGTGCATAGCAGTGCATGATGATGGCTGTTGCAAAGCTGAATACGATCACATCAGCTCGCTTTAGCTTTGATGCTTGAGGGAACACTCCAGCATCTGCCAAGCATGTGCAGAAGCTTTCGATTGCTCGGGCAAGGCAATACAAAGAAATCTCGGTCCTTCTGCTCTTCTTCTCAATTAGCAATGCCAGGCCAGTAGGGAACTGTCGTTGAGCATAGTTAGCAACCAAAACTCCTGATGCGCCAAATAACCAACAAGTAGCGAAAAACTTACCGTGCCAATCACGACCATCGGAATGTTACATCTTTTAAAAAGTCGAAAAAGCAGGCAAGTCCAAGCCCTGCAAATAGAATGCATGTACGGAAAGATTTTACTGCACATTATCATGAAAGTGAAACGATACTGATTTTACAACAATTCTTAAGAGGCCGAAAGTAAAATTTAAGAGAATTTTTTTAAGGAATATGATAGAATATATGGTAACAAAAAGCACAAAATGGATCTACACCATTAAAAAATAGCTGATCCAATTAACATGTCCGGTACAAAGCCTAGTTTCATGAGTTTGCTTTTCAGTCGCTGCTCCAATATCTTTGATGCTCAGGTAGAAGTATGGATTCGGACTAGTGGTAACCATGACTCACATGGTCCTTAACGTCAAGGTAGATATCAGTTCATCACGCCTTACTATGTTATGATTTGAGAAAGTAAATACACAGAAAAATTGGAGAAACAGATAAAAAGAAATCAAATTTTCTCATAAATCATAAACACACAAGTGGAATGTGTGGGCCCACCAGCGAATTAACTGCTAGCAAGCTCCACCTAGTGAATGTGAGAAGATCCAAAGCAACCCATGTCTATTTGCTACTCACTAGCTCAAGCTCGGTTTAAATTGCAGCTAAGTCCATCTAAAATGATCTCCGACTCTCTTAAATCTCCAAAACCCTGGCACTAATAAATCTGTATAGCATCCATGAACAAAATTGACAGGGTTGAGAAGGTAGATCCCAACTGGGCATCTAGGAGGTGCAAATACCAACTCTCCAGCGAAGTGACTACAGGAGTTGTACTGCAACAGATGGTGAAGATATGCACAACATGGAAGAGAACGGTCACATTTAATATCTGCAGATCTCATTAAACCTTAAACTTGTTTAGTATTGTGAAACCATATTGGACATAAATCTCGAGCCATATGTACGACCTAAACAGAACCCAGTGGCAGGAAAAGTACCATATAACTACCAAAATAGTTGGCACATTATGACCAGTTTTTATTCAGCCATATACTAGCCATTGATTAACACTTCTTGTGGAGCTATTGGGCTCACAATTAGAGCTACACATATGATATCTAATTCATTGTTTACGAGATATGAATCATTATATTAATACAATATTTACATAATGCAACAGAACTAGAGTCAAAATAAGCTTGCCTCCCGAAATAGGGAGAATAGCTTTTTGAACTGTTTTCCAGCTTAAATTCCACGAAAGACTTATTCAAAGACTTTACAGTTGAAAAACATAGTCATCTTCTACTTTAATAATCCAGGCTACTCCTCAAACTAAAACAACTGAAACAGACAAATTGGTTTGGCAAATGAATCTCACAAAGATGTATAACTAGTTTATGTAGAGGAGAGCAAAGCTAACCAGGCCGATGCACAATATACAGAGAGGAACAAGCTAGATCTTGCAGTCCCCAGAAGACTCTTCCCCAAGATTGTGTAAGGCCTGCATAGCATAGGAGACAGATTAAGAGAACCATTATGAGGATTCAGCAGATATCTGGTGATATAATGGCAGATCACCACTGAAGAAGACCTTTGTTAAAGTTAAGAAATAGAAGGTTCATAACATGAGGACCACAGTGCAAAATGTGAAAGTAAGCACTTTGTCTGAACTCAAGCAAAAAGGATCTTCATCAAGCACTTGTTATATCATGTCTCAGGCAGATTAACAAAATATCATTTGGTAAAGGACAATATGTGTTTCTTTGTGGTAGCTGTTTAAATGATTCAGATGTATAATTATTTCATCCAAAAGTCCCAGCAACATTATTTAATGTTGGAATTAAGACTAAATCTAAAAAACGCTAAGCTTCACAAGGTGTAGAATAAGCATGATTTACTCCAGAAGGTACAACTAAAGGGACTAAAGATGAAAAATATAAATACCATGAAATTCAGAAGCACAAAAACCATATGCCCACTATTAAAACATTAGTTAGAAATTTTGGGTATTGCCCTCTAAATGCAGAAAGAGAGTTGACGTTGGAATTATCAAAAACAGGACAGCATGACTAAAAGCTCAAAAATGACAGCATCATATCTGGCCATGAACATGTACTACATGATCAACTTGTGGAAAATAAATCAGACAATAGTTCAAGTAAAAACAGATACACTGCATCTAGTTTCAACCTATATATAGTCCTTCCAAACAAAAGTCAATAAGAGATAAATTATAGGTTATCAACAATTAGATTGGATGTGAGAACATACATGAGAACATATCAAATGCACCCCAAATAAGTCAACATGATATTCTTTGTAACAGATGTAGAAAGAACAAAAGAGAACATAGACCATATGAAAATAGGAAAAATGATTAAATATGTGTAGCTCTACATGAAATAGACAAACCAAAGCCAGAAGATTACTCTGATTCCAAGACCTAAATCTAAAAGATTAACTTCTTGACTACAAAGACTAAATCAAATGAGCAAGGATTAAATGATTACACACAAAATGAGATAATCATTCATAAATTTTAGGAATATGCAAAAACTTTTCCCTGCAAATTAGTGATTAGCAGATCATAAATGCAACTCATTAAACGATAACTTCAAAGGATAAATTAAAGCTTAAGTCAATACCTTTTCCAAAGACCCTGACGATGAACTACCAGTGCAGGAACCAAGTAGACTGGAAGATAAACTGGTAGTGCTCTTCCATATTCTTGGAAAAGGAAAGTTATGAAATGCTCAAAACAAGATTGATTGCCATGCACAATCTGAAAAAGAAATAATAATAGTAGTTATAGTTATTGAATAAATCAACAATGACGGTGACAGTATAAATGAACATGTGAATGTTTTCTGAAGTTCATCTACAACAAACATCATTAGTTTTTAAAGTTTGAATCCAAGCCTCTCGCATGAGCATGGGGTCATATATAGAGTACATCTTATAATCAAGAGTTCCAATCAACAGCCGTAAGTGCTCTTTCATTTATGAACTCTGATTAGAGTTAACATTGCATAAAAGATACAGATAACAAATGAGTAGTTGCAACTTTCCTACTTTAGAAGTCCAATTAGAGTTGATCAATAGGCCAAATGTAAATGAAGAGTGCATGTTCACCAATAAACAACACCAGGGTCAGAGCCTATGTATAAATAACTTTTTTGTAATTTTACAGACAAGTATTTTCTAGCTGCAAGCCATTGATTATCTCTTTTCCTTCTCCACTTCTTCATTCATTTGTCCCTTCCTTCAGAATTTTTCCTATCTTCTAACTACATTTTACTTCTCTCCTTCCTGCAATAGCAGAGCAGCTGCAGCTTTCTATTTTCAGATAGCCTCAAAGATCTTTGAATCTTGTACTTAAGTTCTGATCAGTCAATTAAATTAAAAAAATTACACAATTAGATCATGCCGACCTCCAATGGGGGCAGCTTCTGGATTTTGAGGACTTAACATTACAAAATTACACTTAATATGTATAAGGTCCAATCAGGGTATCAAAATTAAAATATTTACATAAATGAGATCATCCCAACCTTCATCACAGATGCAGCAGCCTCTGGATTTTGAGGCCTAGATATTACAAAAAGTTAGTTATACATAAGATCTGACTCAATACTAAAAGGAAAAGGCCTGGATGCTGATATAAAGATTGCATAACAATGGGTTTGAACATAATACTTGAGAAGCCATGCTCCAGCATATGTTAGAAACCAAGATTGCTCTGATGAAATAAATACGAGTGCCTATTACCAAGGGAGTTAAGAACTAGGCATGATAAGAACCAATTGATGAAAGGTATTTGTTAGTGAGTGATTAGATCTCTCATTTATAGCATTATATGCTGAACAAAATAAGATACACCAATATCACAAATGGAACAGATTCACATACAAAGATGAAAGAGAAACCATAAGATCAAACAGGAGTTCCTGATGTGACAAATAATTTAAAAATTAAGACAGTAATGCATACCGAGCATGGGACATTCATATTAGGATCTAGCTTCACATCAACACCGATGGACTTGTAATACTTCTTAACCCCATCTAAATTAGAAAAACAAATATTGGATGCAATTTCTCTCATACTTTGCAGAATAACAGCATCCTTTCCACCATGCTTATGAAGAAATGACTTGTATGATGATGGCAAGCTGTCTTGCTTCAGAATGTAAGCAGGCCTGGCAAAGACCACCAGAATCATATTCTAAAGTCATATAAGAAAAGATTAATGGAATTAAGTAGATAAATCTCTTATGTAATAAGCAGATAAATCTTTTATATATGATGAGAAGCATCATGAGAAGGCATATCAAACCACCTGACCGCATCCATTTTTCAAAAATCTGACAAGGATCAAGGTACAAAAACACACTCAAAACATTTAACAAGGAATGGAGTTGTAAAGTAAATAATTTTTGGTGCTTCAGTTCATGTTCGCCAGATCATGCATCTTTACTAAAAGAAGTTCTGTAGTGGAAAAGCAAATCTTTTAAAGGAAAACATTTTGATGGAAATAAGAAGCTTGAAATATCAAATTTCAACTAAACAAATGAGGCAGCCTACCAAGAATAAGTTTCCATTGGTATTTCTTCATAAAGCTAGACCATTTGACATTTCAAACTTAAGTGTCATAACTAATAATGCTTGTGTTCGACTGGCAGATATCATAAATCTGTACATAGAAGAAATATCATTTAAACAAATAAAGAATTATAGGTCATTTAAGTGAATATGTGTACAATAAGAGCTGTTGCTTTGGTCTAGGTTCTTGATCTAACATAACCAGCAGATTTAATCATCCCAATGTATCAAACTCATAATTTGAGCATGTTTTCTCAGCTTAACTGATTGATTCTCTTTTAATTCTAGATCCAACAATAAACTTCCAACAATAAACTATAATATTATGTTACAAACTTCCACAGAAAAATTGTTAATGTATAATGACATAATCATAAATTCAAACAAAATTAAATACCAGATAAATAAAAATGAAATAATTTCATAAAATCAAACATACAAGATCTGTGAAGAGGCGAGACACATAAGAAATATGTCACCATGTGACCAAGTCAATGGTCTACAAACACCACCAAATAGTTTGCTCTTTATCCCACAACGTGATGCCAATACCGCAGCACGCATAAGAATGTATATAGCCAAGCTAGTGTGTTGTTTATTTGGTCCGGTCAAGAGCATTGATGGACCAGCAATCAACCCTGCTAGTAACGACCTCCATCTTGCAGTTCTGAAGCAAAACAAGAAAAGAAGTTCTATTATGGCTTGAAGTTTAAATATAAAAACATCAATCATTATTTCCCGTGACACCCTTAAGATATGGTCTCAAAGTGTGTAAAACCACAGACAACACAAAGTTATGGTTAACATGCACGACTACATGTATTAATTATAGATCACGGAAGAGAGTCTCATTCTGTTTGTGTTTTATGTGGAGCTTCCATTGATGCTTTGACTTAGAGATAACCAACGCAGACAGGATGGACAATAGAAGACGAATTTGATATTTTGCTAATCTCTATAGCTTAACAGCTTGAGTAACCAGCTTGGAGTAATTTAACCTTATTGCTTGTTAGCCTTTCCCTGCGAGGCTTTTGCTTAGAAAGATTTACAAATACTTCATGGCAACAACATTCCAAGATGTGTTACTAGGCAACCACCACCGACGTTGGTCTCCATCATTCAACCATTAAAAGACGAAGCACTTGAACTCCACAACACAAAGTTTATAGCATATGAAGTCTAGGAGGACATATGTATAAGAAAAAAAACATCTTCAATAGGGCCCAAATAGAAAGAACAAGATAAAGTTCGAAATAAATGGCTGCAGGAGGATGAGAAGAGGAAAGTAACAGCGAAGATATAAAGTCACACAGACATGCATACATGCAAATTGGAAATTGGAAATCATAACTAAAGCAATCAGACCATGAAGCACCTAAGATTAAAGAACAAAGGACTAACTCCGAAACACCTACCTCTTGTGCCCACCTAATGCAGCAATAACTTCGTCCACCGAAACATACGTTCCTGCAAGGGTTCCCAGAAATATCCCATATCTCAACGTCTCCTCCAACGCCACAACCACAGCCTCCTTATTCGTGAAAACCCCCGCCTTTCTGGAAATGAAAGCGCCAAAAACAATCAAGCAATCAACAAAGTCCAGGTACGTATTGGACTTGAGAAACCTGTTCGGCCAAACCTGGCGGAAGACCTCAAGGATCTGCGGCTCCTCAGTCGCACAAGAACCGAGAATAATGCGAGTCCTCCCTTCAGGCCGGCGCCTATAGCGAAACCTTTGGCTGCGGCCTCGAGGCACCGTCGGAGCCACCTCCACTCCTCGGGCACCCGACGGAGGCCAGGTGGATCGGACCTCCAGCAGCCGCCCTCCCGCGTCCGGCGGGCATGCTCCCCGTTGGCGAGCTGGACGTTCGCTGGCGCGACGCCTTCGTCGTAGGCGGTGCGAGACATGAGAGGCGAAGAGGGCGAGGTGGCGTCGATCGAGAGAGAGAGAGAGAGAGAGTGGGGATGGTGTTACGAAACAAGGCAAGTGAGCATGGTGCTTCACTTTGAATTCCGAGATCGGACGGCTGCCGCGAAATCTGATCAGTTGTTTGGTTGGCCGATGAAACTGCCTTCAAAATTGTTGGCTTCCGCCACCTAATAACATGGTGGTGGTGGTGGGACCGAATTTAATTACGGAAAAGGACCTCTTTTACCTATTTGTCCTTTCAGAGTTCGGAACTAACTTATCTGCTCCTCTGAATCTTAATTTTGCATATATGTTCTCTATAAATATCCCTTTGGTAACATCCGTCCAAAACAACTTTAAATCAATCATTAAAAATCGTATTTATCGTATTTTAATTTGAATTTAAAAAGTGTCCAATGTATCTTAAAATTCCTACAATCATGATAAATCACTTAAAAGAGTATTAATGTCAATAAAAAAAATTAATTTTCACATTTATGCCTCCAAATTTAAATTCTGCATATTTATATATGTTTATAAGACTTAAAAACTTAAAAATATGTCGTTGAAGTTAATCTCTTCAGTTAGACGACAGTACAATGAAACCCTCCTAAATGAGTGAATGTTAGATACTAAAATGTATATAATTAATTGCTACATTCCATATACCATTCCAAATCTTATATTAATAGGGTATAGACAGTTGAATCGATGGAGGGGTGGAGCTTTTAATGCAATTTTCTAGGGAGACAACAAAGAGGGGAAAGGAAGAAGGGGTTGGGGGTTGGGAGTTGGAGGATGGGAGTTTTTTGATTGGAAGCACAAATCATAGTTACTTTTGTGCTTCATATCAATCTCAATATTGCATCTGATTTGAATAAAAGACAAATTTGATTGGATTTGTGGTTTGGATTGATTCTTACATCAATTTTATTGTTATGATGATTGACCATTAGAAAAGGTGATATGCAACTACTAACTATGATCGGCATTAGAAAAGGCGATATGCAACTACTAACTATGATTGGCATTAGAAAAGGCAATATGCAACTACTAAGTAGACAGCATTTGTTGACGGAAACCACGATCAACGCATTAATCGTCGATCCCGACTTGTTTCTGCCGGGCCTTCTCTTTAGAATATTGTAGCATGAATAAAAAATCTAACCTCCGGTCGTGACGATCTCGAGCACCTCCTCGTTGGTCTGCCACCCGAACACCACCTTGCTGACCCCATCCGACGGGCTGCAGTACCTCCTCGACAGAAAAGAAGAAACAGAGCACCACCAAGGAGCCACTGCCATTCGGAACCACCAAGAAAACCACCGCGTTCCCGGCGGAAAGCGAGACGTACCTGGTGCGGCCGGCGGGAAGCCAGCACCGCCCGATCGGGGAGTGGCGCCTCCGTTCACGGCAGCAGATCCTCTAACCACGGAGCGCTCCTCTCCATCGCCTCCCCTCTCTCTCTCTCTCTCCTCGACTATAAAAGGAGTTGGAATAGATCAGACGTGCGTCCTTCTTCCTCTCTATTATAGCGCGACATCTTCTCGATCTAGATCGAGTCACCTCCGATTCGATGATTCGTAGCCTCCGTAACTACTTCCAGGACGATGTACTTTTGGAGTTATCTTGGCGGTAAACTAACCGTGGAGTGATAAGACGTAACTGATTCTTATTTCCAGCTACTTGCTAATAGAGGGAGGAGCAATGTATATACTTCTGTTGCGAATTTGAACTGACTCTTCTCCAGCATGTACTTTTTTATGTGAAGATATCATGTGCCTATGCATTCGTATAACATTCATCAGTTGGGAAGAACAAATCCTTCTCCTCACAGAAAAGCTTAGATCACAAGAAAAAACGTAGACCACTGCGTATTATTCTTGTACACTATCAGTAATTACAATCCTTCGCAAGAAGACCAGTTTTAGATGTCTTCTTGACATCATTCTCAGAGGATGATGCAGTACTACGCTCAAAGCTTTCATGGGGTAGAGGGCTTCAGTCTCATCTCACTTCTTCCTTGCTTCAGTTCTTCGAGGAAGGGAGGCGCTTCGCTTCCACTCCACGAGTCGACGCAAGAATTTCTGAACCTGTAAATGGTGTCAGCTAGCAATCCCAGCATCCATGGCAGAAAAGCTTGTGCAGACATGGAGCCGATGCTCACCTCCGCAGGTTGCCTGAGAGAGCAACGTGCACTTGTTTCCCTGATGACCTCCGATACAAGTATTCCCAAACCCTGCCTTCTACCATGCAAAACCTGAAACGTGGACTGCATCATTGACCACAACTCAGTGTAGTCTGACAAAAAGACGACGAGAAGAGAATCCAGTACCTTGAAGGCATCTTCATCGGTGCGATCATCTCCTATGTACACAGGGAACACATTGCCAGAGTCTGCCAATCCTGTACGTGAAAGAAGAATTACTGATCGAGTGTTGAAGGTTGGTGAAGAGAGGGTGTGAATCAGATCTTGCTCAAGCTCACCAAGAGACTCCAACATGAACTCGAGAGCCTTCCCCTTGTCCCACTTGATACTAGGCCGGATCTCCAACACCTGAGGGAAGATGATCAAGAAACAAATGTTGAGAAAGATACGGTTGTTGATGGATTTGGGATATATATATGATATATATACCTTCCTTCCCATGGTGAGGCGGAGCTTGGGATAGTCCTTGAGCACTGACCTTACAAGCTCAGCTAATGAGCTCCATATCTGACATCAAATTGGAGAGAGAGAGAACGAGAGGTTTTAGCTTACGAAGAATGAACCAATAATTGCTTGGGAAATCCAATATCGAAGGATTATTCGACCTTTTCATCGACACATCGAAAGTGAACCGATAAGGTGAATATGTTGTTCTCTACTCTGGATCCCTGGATGAGCTTTGTTTTCTCCATTAATGCCTTGTAGACCTTGAAAGAAATAGAATATATTGATCGGTACAGCTTGTGCAAGAGAATATTAACAGGGAAAGATGCTGATAGTTTCAGAGATACTTGACCATGAGTAGAACTCTTACCTCATCTATCATGGGGAGGAACTCAGTGGCTGGCTGAAACAGAACAGCTTTCGTCTGCATCCATCCACAGAGAATAAAAGGATAGGTTAGTCCACATAGGTGCAGTAACAGAGGATACGAAGAGAGAGAGAGATACCTTGGCTTTTGTATGTTTGGTTCTCTTAGTCGGGCCTTTGATGTCCATGCCGTGGCTTCCAGCATAGTACAGCTCCCTTAATCGTACGAAGCTGAACACCTTAACATGAACAAAGCAGCACAGAAGAGGCGTTAAAAAGAAGAGTAACACGCTGATCTGATCCGGCAAGAGGAAGGAAGCAGGAATTCACCTTGTCTCTGCGTCTTCCACTCACAATCGCAGTTGGGAAATGCCTTGCTACGTCCCTTACCGTCTCCTTCATCTGTATGCAGTGATATGATTGTTGAGTGTGTAAAGAACTCGGAAACAGAGCAACGAAAGACACTGAACGTACTGCGTTGGATATGAAGGCACGGTCGGGGTCGTCCACGATCGGAGACAGTGTCCCGTCGTAGTCGAGGAACACCACGATCTGCTTCCCCTTCGATGCTGCGACGATGTCTTCGAAGACGCTCAACGCCGAAGGATGCTGTTTCTGCTTACAATTTCCACGAACTCAGCACCCGTTACCGGAGACGAAGCCTTGGTATGTATATAAGAAGATGCAGCAAACGTACCACCCTGTTGTTGTAGTCTTCGTCGTGGGAGGCGGCGAAGGAGGCCGAGAGCATGGCGGCCGCCTTGACATGAGTAGGAGAGGATGCCCGCATGGAGTCGACCCACGCACTGATCCTCGCGCCACCCCCGCCGCCGCTGCCCATGTCGAGCTGGCTCAGGAACCTCTTGTACCTGGCGCAACGAACGCCGAGCGCGGAGGAGCGAGGCTGCAGCAAGGCGGAGCGATGTGCTGCTGGGTCCGCCACTACTGCCATCACCGTCGTGACTGCTAACTCTTCCGGCACTATCACACTCTGCTTCCTCATCATCTCTTCGGTTCTCTCTCTCTCCTCTGTGTCCAAAGCAGGTGTTTGTACGTAGTACAGGAGGCAATTAGGGAGTTTCTGGAACTCAACCACGAGGAGAATAAGCGAGGAAGAGGAAAAGGCCTATAATTCTAAGTCGTTCTTCTCTTCCTCTCTCCCGCTGAGAAGACGCAGCAGCAGGAGGAGGAGGAGGAGAGCAGGGAAGACCAGCAGGAGTTGGGGACGAAGCCGACTTCCATTGGCGGGCATTATATAACGCGGGCAGCTGCTGGGCGCCGAATAGAAAGGAACAGTTACGCGCGAAATGGCCCCACCAAGCAACCCGAGTGAAACGAATACACCGCGGGTTGGTGTCGCCTGCGTCACAATCTCTAGCACGAGCGGATTGCCACGTCAGATGGGACCCAAAGGCTCATCCCGTGAACGGATGCCACATCAGTTGCTCGTCCAATTCCATGTTGGCGCAGGCACACTATTTGAGTACATAGAATAATGCATTTTTTTCAAATATTATCGAGAGATAATTTTAATATAAAGGACAAGAAATCCACATTATACTTATCTAATAACAAAATGCCTTTACCTATTACGAGAGACCAAAATTAAAAATAGATCATCAAAGCTTAATAGACTTAAATTTTAGTCTTGAATTAATGCATCATATATATATACATATATATATACATACATATATATATATACATACATATATATATATACATACATATATATATATACATACATATATATATATACATACATATATATATATATATATATATACATATATATATATACATACATATATTATATACATACATATATATATACATACATATATATATATACATACATATATATATATACATACATATTTATATATATATACATATATATATATATTGATCCTCATTTAAAATTTTAACAAAATATGTTTTTGTAAAATTATCCATAGTCACAATTACAATGAGTTAATTACATACATAATTATCTATAGTCGATAATTTGAAGGTGTTTGTTAGTTTAGTTAGTAAAACTCTGATAATTTATCGTAAAGTCTCGAACTCGAATCTCGTATTCATCACTTATCTTTTGTAAAAAATAAAATTAAATACTAAAGATATAAAAAGATTCGGAGGAATAAAAAAGAGGGAGAATATTAGCACATGAGATGTGCTCACAGGTTTCCTCCATGATTGAAGGAGTAGTTGAAGCATCAAAGACTATTTCTAGATGAGTTCTTAGTGGAAGTTAATCGTAAGGAAGTTCCTAGAAATTTTCATGGCTTGGAATTTTTTTTTGAGTGATGTATGTAAGCATTCAAGAAGAAAGAAAAAGAATCTCAATTTCTTGAGGTGATCCAGCTGAGATCAGATCAATAGTACTAAGATTGTAGAAGTCATGTGCTTCAAGACATTTGAGAGTGTGTCTGTGTTCACAGAGTGTTCCAACAATAGACTTGTGTTTGAATGCAGAAGTTGATTCTGATTTGTGCAGAATGTTTACTTCGATCTCCAGAAGTTAAAGAAGGAAGAACATTTCGTAAGTGTGCAAAGTGCATGACTCATCACATCACTGTTGCATTAAGACAGATTTATTATATCTGTACACAAAATGCATGATCACATGCAATGAATAACATGCCACCACATGCTTCAGAGTTCATCTTTGGGTGAACAATGTGTCTTTGGATCTGTTTGAGAAGAGAAGACAATAGATATGCAATTACAGTTTAGTATAGTTGAATCAAGAGATCCAATAGATATGCAATTACAGTCCTGATTCCAATTTTGTAAGCATCTCATCCCATGATCCATGACAGAGACAGAAACATACGTCGTAAAGCTATATACCCCAAAAGGAGAAGGAGACATCAATTCCTCAACTCGTTTTAGCTTGTCATCATGGTTAAGACAAACTCAAGCTCTTGTGGTTAGAATGGCACCACTTGCGAGTGTAGTAACCATTTGCATCCTCCTCTAAAAGAACACACAAACCTTCTTACTCACACGCATCAATATTCCAGCTAAAGTCTTTGATATAATAACCCCAAGCAAAAAAGTCGATGAGAGCTCCGATCGAGCTTCACACACTTGGCTCAGTGAGTGGACATCTTATTTGTCCTCTCCTTCTTTTCCTCGATCTTTAAGCTCGTGCATGGAGATTCCATAAAGACTATTGTAGGACAGAATCTAGGTTTTATTTTTTGTTTCATTAATATCGTACATATTCATGTCTATACATACATATAAATAATCTAAGCTAATTTTGATCTCATGTGAGTTAAATTGATTGCATAATTATTTATCTTATACGTTGCATGATCACTTGCATCCGATGATTTGGCATTGGATGATGTAGAAGATGTAGAGAGAGAGTCCTCAGATTCTTACATCCACATCGCTCTTGCTTTCATCTAATCCGAACATGTATGTCCTTTTGAATCGGAGCGGAACATATGCAGACAGCCTTACAACCCCAACGTGTCCTCGAGCACACGATGCCACCATTCTCTACCAAGCAATACCACTATGGGCAAGCATCGAATAGCCACCTGTCGTCACCCTTCTCCTAATCATAGCCACCCACCACCGATCGTCCTTTGGATGCTTCACTGCATCTTCCTGCAACTCATCCACGTGCCAAGCTGTCTGCAAGCTTCGAAAGCATGCCAATTATATGAGCAGGGCTTTGCGTTTGCTGCCATGGCATCCCTGTAGAAGGAGGAGGAGTGATTGGAGAAGCTCAGCTCTGCTAGTCTCCTCCACTCCAAACCAAACTAAGAATCTTTGTAAATGCACATTACTGGAACCTTGGCATTTCCACAAGTAAGATGTGATGTAAGGTTTCAATGCAATGTGCTTTAGTTTCTTTCTCTGACACTTGTTGCAGGATAAATCAGAATTCATGAACATGGCAAAGAGAATTCTTTCATGTTTGAAGATAAGGTACTTTTCCTTGCGGCACAGAAACAAAAAAAAATCAGATGAAGCTGGACACCATGTTGTGTCTTTTATGATCATTTATTAGTCTTTTTTTTTTTTACATTAAAGCGCGGCAAAAGTCCAGACTGATCATAAGAAAGCCCAACAAGCCTGGTAGAAGCTTTAGGTAATTTGCAAGCTTAATTAATTACATTGATCTAGGCATGGGATCTTCCTATCAGGAAGAAAGAAAGAGAAGGATGCTTGGATAAACTTCATGGCATTTGTGAAAGCAATCATTCAGTGCTAGAATCTAATTATTATATTACAATTATAATCTTGAGGCTATCTACTTTGACAATATGATCTTTTTTTGTTAGTCAGTGTTAAGAACTTAACAAGCTCATGAGGCTGACTTATAGTCTGTCTCATGAACAAAAAATTGCCAATTATTTAGCTTTCTATGTATAAAGATCCATAAAAGATAGACTAATTTCCCCATCTCAATGTGCCTCAAGACACTGTTTCTTTAATGCTTGTGGCAGGGTTTAGAAACAATCAAACTTGACTTCAAATGGTGTAACAGCAAAAACAGCTGAATATATTATATGTTTTGAGGCTCCTTCACCCACACTTTCTGAGAATTTCAATTCATGAAACACCTAATATGTCTTCCTGAAAAGGAAATAAGTTTTCTCTATCTGAACTTCTAGAATCAGCCTTTTCATAAGTTCATAGCATTAGCAGAAGAGTTGCAAGACATCATCAGAAAAAGATCAGAAGAGCAACACTGTGTCTCCCTCACATTTCTATCTGCATCTGATAAAGCTTTGCACATACATTAACCCCAAACCAATTCACTGCTTTGTTTCAGTGACTACAAAGCTTTGGTGATTGGAAAGTTTCACATGACAGTGAATGCTACTATTTGGCTCTGATACACTCACATCTTTTTGCACATGCCACACAAACACTAATTTACTGCTTTGTTTCAGTGACTACAAAGCTTCACATGACACTGAACTCTCTACTATTCAGATCTAATACTCTCACAACTTTGCTAACATCCACACTAATATACTGCTCTGTTTCATTGACTACAAAGCTTCACATGACAGTGAATGCCACTATTTCGATCAGAAACTCTCACAACTATGCACACATACACATACAAACCAATTAACTAATCTGTTTCAGTGACTACAAAGCTTCAGTGCTTAGAAAGCTTCACATGACAGTGAATGCTACTTCTGTTTGTGTCTGACACACTCCCAACTTTGCACATGTACACAAACAATTTACTGCTCTGTTTCAGTGACTACAGAGCTTCACATGACATTGCAAAGAAGACAACCTTCCCTCAGGTATGCCTAGAAAAAGCCAGCAAACCTGAAGGTCGTACTGCCGACAACACCGACTCACTATACTGCAGCTTAAAGCTTCGAGGACAAAGAACACCACAAGGGGCCATGCAAATGACTAAAACCTCATCTGCAACAGCTTTAGATTCTGAGCACTACTAATCTGAGGAGAGAATGGAGTCCCAGTCGATCTCCCAGGATGGGTACTTCCGCAACACGAAGCTCTCTGATTCGTCCCATGGCGCCTCGGAGAAGTCCAAGTGCTGCATCGCGGACACAGCGGACGATCCCGAGCATGGCTCGTCCTCCTCCAACGAGGAGGAGCTCTCCGACTTGTTATCCTCCGAACTCGTGCCGGGCTCCTCTGTCGTCGCTGAACCGGGAAGAGCACTCTTTGGCTTCTGTGAGTTCGCCATGGTGTCGTAGATGGTCTGGAGCTTGGCGTCCACGGAGGAGTGCAGCGGCGGTCCCATGTGAGACCCGTTACGGCGCAGTTCCGGGAAGTTGAGCCTCGCGGCGTCGCCCCGGAGCTCGAACGCGGCCCTGTCGTAGGCCAGGGCGGCCTCCTCCGCGGTATCGAAGGTCCCGAGCCAGAGGCGGGTGCGGTTGCGGGGAAGACGGATTTCCGCGACCCATTTACCCCAGTGCCGCTGCCGGACACCGCGGAAGAGCTTCGTGGGCTTCGGAGGCGAGGGTGGCGACCCGGCGTGCTTCATGGGCCGACGCCGGGCAGCAAGCGGATCTGCGTTACCCAGGTTCCGGCGCTCGGAGGCTGCTGCCATAAGCTGCTGTTGGTATTGGAATTGAGCTCGGATTTGCTGGATATGAGCAGGGAAGAGATAACTGAACCCAACCGAGCTCAAGCAGCCCAAGAAGTCATCTTTCTGATTCAACAAATGTTGCGGAGGCATTTCGTAACTGGATTCTGAGAGCAAGGAGGGATCAAAACTGGGATCTTGGTGAAGATAAGGGGAGAAAGGAGAAACAGGGGAGGAAGAAGGATAACAGAAAGACTCAGAGGAGGCAAAGCTTGAGGAAGAGGGGTAACAGGAGGTGGGAGCACCTTTAATAAAAGGGTCAAGTGCTTCCATCAGAGGATCTGATGATGAGGAACCTGGCATGCTGCTGTAAACATCCATGGCTGCAGCCATGCCTTCTCTGTAAAGCAAACCCAAAGCTTCAACTAAAAGCCAGAGGATAACAAACGAAGTAGCTTCGTGAGGTGGCAAAGAAGCAAGAAAAAGATGCAGTACAAAAGGGGCAGATTGGCAAAAGCCCAATTGGCTGTGAACAGAACAATAGAAAGTAGAAACAGAGGAAGGAATTCTGAAAGAAAGAGGAACAGAAGAAAAAAGCAGCCTCTTTTGGTCAATCTAGGAAAAGAAAAGAAAAGAAAAGAACGAACGAGGACCGATCAACCTGAGGGTACAAAAAGAAGCCCTCTTGGCTGAGGAAATCTGGAAGAAGGGGGGGCCAAAAAGAAGCTGAAAAGTTGATCTGATCTCACAGAAATCAGAGGAAAGAACTCGAAAAATCGAAACTTTTCACTTCAGGGAGCTTACGGAGGAAACAAATTGGATCAAAGATCACTTTTTGTTCGCTCTCGAGGGATCTCTCAGCTCACGGAGTGGCGGGGGTGGAGGTTTCTCGTGTAAGTGGAGGCGATCAGCTTTCTCTGCCAAAAGGACGGAGTCTTGCGGCGAGCTCATATAGGCGTTTCTTCTCCTCGCTGTCAAATCGCAGGATGCCACGCGCCCGTATCTCAGGCGTCACCGCCACCTGTCGAGGAGGCCACAGACTGGTGTCAGTTTCCGGGACGCGTGCCTTGCGATGATTGCCTGCCTGCAGTCGACCACCGGAAGAACAGCCCCGGGTTTAATGAAGGTGGGAAGCGGTAACTTGTCTCTAGCCTTATCAATCGCTAAGTTGTGGAAGCTAGGTGGCAAGTTCTGGTTGGATGAACCGGGCAAAGAGAAGTCAAATATAGAATTAAAATAGAATTAAGTTATGAAAGAGAACAAATAATAAGTGGTCTGAAGCCCTTCAATTGTTACTGTTTCGACTGGTCTAAACAGAGACGAGGGATCTTCTTTATGTGGACTTCCAGACAAAAAGTTGCAGACGATTTTGAACATTCCCGTAGAAAACGCGTTGCTTCGTGGAACCCTTTAGCTCTTCATGGACTGTTCTTGATGGGAGTCATGGGCTGATCACGGCAGTCGGTTCTTCATCAAGCGGTGGATAACGGTGTCTCGCGGTTGGTTTCGGACAAGAGAGAGAGTAGATGGCCGCCGGAGCGGCGTGCGTTGAAATGGGATGCGTCGGCTGAACGTATGGAGGCGGCGTGGGCAGAGGCGTACTGTGGGAGACGCGTTAACAGTGAAACCGCGTGAAACGGCAGCGGACGCACATGGCCACGTGCCTGGTTACAAGTACTTCACTATATATATATATATATAATTAATATTTAATATTTTATTTGTTTAGTCAATTCAAAATCAAATCGAGATTAGTGTCGATTCCGATTACTACAAGGGTGAAACGAGAAACGAGAATCGAGCCCTTTTGCCCCCGCCCCCTCTTACTTCCGTTTTAGTTTGGAATCATAATAAAATTATTAATCGATTCTGATTTTGATTTTGACTGATTTAGTTCTGATTCTTCCCCATTTCGAATTCAAGCGTGATCAAATCTATGAAGACCATTCACTCAATCTAAGTAAGTATTCTGAGAAGTCACAGTAGTAGCAAAGCCAGACATCGAGCCTAAGACATAGCTTAGGGAGACACTGTAGGGGAACAGAGGCATGCATCCATTCCGAGAAGTGACGTCCAAGCAGCTGACCCTGCGTTCGTCCCTTCGGTACATGTAAGCACAGTTACATTGCACAGAGAGAGAGAGAGAGAGAGTAGCAGCAGCTGCTGCTGTTGTTACTGCTGCTTACCAGAGGATTTCCTTCTGCCAGGGATGCACTTCCCTTTCACAGCCCCTTCCCTGCCTTCTTCAACCTCCAACCTCCCTCCGATCCCAAGCTTTGAGCTCCTGTCACCACACCAAAGTACGTATACACGTGCACATATATCAGTCGGAAGATAAGTTGGAGGTTCGCCCCAACCACAACTACACAAAGGTTAAACAACATGGGAATGGAGGTTGACTCCGTATGTTTGAACCTAAACAACATGGATGGTTTCTTTGATCATTAGGTGGTGATCAATTCGAATGGAATGAAATGGGATCAGTGGGAGTGTCACCTTTCTTCTCTGAAGGAGGAGGATTTCTCGAGACAAGGCTCGGGTGGCGGCCTGCTTCCTTCCGCGATGCTCCCACTGAAGTACTCCTTGTCCTCCACCAGGGGGTGGCAGAACCGGGGGTTCTCCAAGATGCGCCGCGGCTCGGCGTCCTCGTCCGCACGACTAGCTAGTCGACTCACCACCCCGTGGTGGAGCTTGGAGTCGGCAGCCTTCGTCGTCCCTCCGCCGGGGCTGCTTCTTACCTTCAACGCCGCCGACCCGCAGGTGATGAGTTGGATCAGGACCGAGTTCCGAGCCAGGCCCGGTTCGGGAGTCTCTTCGGGCTTCTCGAATCGCCGGGAGTCGCCGTCGGCGCTGCCGCCTCCAGGGCCGTGGGTGGGGGGCTTGTCCGAGGACGTGGAGGACGGCGGGGAGGCGTCGTCGAGCGGCAACTCTGTGCGCGCGGCCTGGTGGGCCCGAGTCGCGGTCCGGTCCTCGACTCGCTCAATCTCGTCCGTCGAAACGCCGCGTGAGCGATGAGAGTAACGCGGACGACTCGTTCTAGTCTCGTCCCCCGCCGTGCGCGTACCGCCTCTCACCTCCTCCTCCGCCTCGTCCTCCGCTGTCCCTTCTTCGTCCACCTCCTCTCCATCATCTTCTCCTACTTCCAAATGGAGTCTGTGGCAGATGGGTAGTGGTTTCGGCTGCTCGCTGCTTGCTGCAGTGTGCTGGAAACGTTCTGCAACGTCGAGTTCAAACCGATCTCAGCCAAAACGAAGCTTACGATCGACCAAAAGCATCCAATAAATAAACAGCAACAAAGACTCGAGAGAAGAGACCGTAAGCGCCGGGGATGATCTCGGAGCCTTTGAGCACGTACTCGACGCCGTCGGTGGCGTAGATAACGTCGTTCTCGGCCAAGTCGTTCCACACGTACCCATTCTTGTAGCTCCTTCGTCATGTTTCACAGTCGATCACAACATCAGCAAATCGAGCTTGAGCTCCGACTTAGATGTGGGTAAGAAGAGCTTACCTCTTGCAGGACCAGGAGAAGAGAGAAGGCATGCCTCTGCCTCTGTAAGCAGTCAGTCTCTCCATTACATCTACACATACGTAAGCATCGGTGAGAACGATGCGTGCAGGCGAGAAGAAAAGAGCAGATTACAGCAGGCAACCTCTGAGACGAAGCTGTTGGTTGGGGAGGTGAGGGAGCTCAATGAAGTGAGGGTGCTCCAACTGGCCATTTCTGCTGAGATAGTAGATGACCTGAACCTTCCTCAGTGGCGTCACGAGCCTCTGCTGCTGCTGCTGTGAGTAGCTCAGCCTGGCTCGGTCTGGGCTGGCTTCCCTGCTGCTTCCTCCCCTCCTCCCTCTTCCACCACCGCCCTCCATCTTCCCTACACACAACAAGAGCAGCAACTACTACAGAGCTCCAAGGGGAGAGGACAAAGGTAAGGATCGGAGAGGGAGGAGGGGAATCCTGTCACGTACCAATAGCCCATCCTCTGCTTCGCCTTTTCCTTATACAAACCAGTGTGCCATAACGTACCTTCACTGTGTCAGTGTGCTGAGATTTCTTTGCTTGCATGATAATGGCTATAGGCTGGATTTGGCATTGTCAGCTGCAAACAATGATTTAATGCAGTAGAATTCTTGTTTCTTCCACCTTATTTTAATCTAAAGATGAACTCAGTCCTTTGTCACTTCTTCTACCCCCCAGACAATCACAACCAAACAGTGTTCTTCTCCATCACCATTGTTGCCATCATACAAGAGATCATGGTTTAACCATGCTCTCTTTCGAGCTTGCTTCATTTGTGTTCTGCATGTAAATATAGGAACATTATTACAATAGCCATGACATCTCTGTTACAGAAGAATGATAGTTACTACTATTAACTTGGATCATTGATTCAAACTCAACAAGATCATATCATCAGTAGCTCGGATCAAATAAAACCTGAATGTGAATTATAATTAGCTTCTGATTACCACAATTCTAAGTAAGATTTTGAAGATGAAGAAAACAGAAAATATATAGCTCAGTGACAAAAATCTGGATTTGATATCCACAAGAAGACAATGGTTTCAATAAAGCAGCATATGACTTGATATCCACAATAAGACACCCTTTTACCCCCACCAACACTCTGCCTACAAAGCCACTCAGGAAGAAGACGCAGGAAAAGGCCAAAACCTCTCGAAGGAGAACTCCCCTATTACTCATGTGATTCTCGACGGGGAAGAAGAACCATCACAATCTACATTCCATCTCCCCTTTAGGTGTGTGCATGAGAATGAGCAGTTCTATCATTGTTCTTCTGCAGTCGCATCATCCGGAACGCACAAGCTCTCATTGATCATTCGAGAACATTAAGATCTATCTCTTGCTACTCTTCCAATGCAGTAAATGATGTGTTTCTTGATTAATTGTTCTTGTACACAAATTGATAAGTCCTAATGACCCAAAGCAATTAAGTTGAAGAAAGGGGCCAAGAATCTTCTGGACTTACTGTAAAGCTTCCGACAAGTGATTGTTATGACATCTGCAAGGCAAAGAGAGTCCAAATGCAAAGCATTCCACAACTATTTTTGAGCAACCCAAACAAAGAAGACGAGGAGAAAACATCCAAGAGATGATGACCATGATGACATCAAAGAAGACACTGTGAGACACACTTGACTGCAATAAACTGGGTACTAGGTGCACAGTTTGATCTGTTCACCTGAAAAGACACCATAGATGACTCTGCTGCTGCACCTGATTCTGCAACCAGCCACAGATTCTCTTCTTGCTCTCTCTGGGAATGTAAAGTTCCATGGTTGTGTTCACCTGTGAAAGAGGCCGATGCAGAGAAAGCAGTCAAAGCACAGTTCAATAGAGCAACATAGACACTATATCTGAGACACAACCAATAGTTGCATGCAATATGTCCATTACCTATCTGCTATTACCTTGAACTCCATTTAGTAGAAGTCTTAAGGAGGAGGAAGGCATTGATCTGATGAATCTAAATCATCAATCCAAGTTATTGGCATATACCAATTCAATTGAATAGCCACATTTGATGTGGGATTGACATAAAATATGATAGACTAATTCAAGCATAAGAAACTTGTAATGACATTAGAAGATGGAAGTATGACCCCACTTGATTGCACTTATGGTACTAAAATTGCACTTGATTGATTCCCACTACAATAGCATTGCTTGTTTGTTATTAGCTATAATCGACATATGTTGAGATTCATGATACTTATATGGTACTGACGCCTCGCGTCATTTTCGTCATATGTTGAAATCGATCGACATCTATATTAATTAAATTCGATATAGTTTTACGATGATTGTTAGTGACCTAACGATTTTTTTCATTCGGACATTATGTTTTAATTTTGATATAAAATTAAATAAAATTTAAAACTAAATGCCAAACATATTTTCCACTAAAACTAAATACATCTCCACACTTTTTTCTCCCAACCCAATTTTGGTATGCATCCTCTTCCAGAATAGAAAGTGGGTTGGATGCATCGATGAAGACGTCCTAATTAACGGTCGAGATTCATCTTGCCTCATTTAACTGCCCGCCATCTCTCTGTCCCTCTTCACATTTAAAGCCAACAAAACAAACGTTGGCGTCACCGCCTGCCAGTCTCTCATGTCTGTTACGCATCCGAGAAGAGAGATGGCGGAGGGGAAGGGTAACGGAGTGGACGCGGCGGCGCTTTCCCGGAAGCGGCCGCGGGCGCCCATCCGGCGGACTACGAGCATGAAGGAGTTCTCCGCGGAGGATCTGGCGGCGGCGGTGGAGGGCGGAGAGGGTATCCGTCGTCGCCACAACGATTTCCTCCTGCGGGAGCGGCGGGTGGAGGCGGCGGCGTTGGATGCGCCGCCAAGGAGCATCCATCGGCGAAGCTTCAGCGACGTCTGGGCGACGACCAAGTTCTTGATGACCTGTGGCCTCTGCAATCGCCGCCTCGGCCCTGGGTTCGATACCTTCATCTATCGGTGCGAACAATGTCCTTGTTTTCTGTTGGATTTGATCGTTTTATTGCTGATTTCGCATAATTCTGTAGAATTCTGACATCTCCAGGACGAAAGATCGGATCCATTTTGGGCTTAATTGTTGGATTGGTATATGATAAAAAAAAGGCTTAGGAACATTGCTTGATCCAACACCCCAGTCGTTTCTCTCTCCCAATTATGAGATTGAAATCTCATTGGGGGCTGAACATAGTTTATAATCAAATCTAGAAGATGCATGTCAGAGTCTACATCAGATGTGCTTTTTGAAACTCTTTTTTCAAGTATTTTTTTTTCTGATATTATTTATCATCACTTGATGATTTGATGTGATAACTGACTCATAGATTGGAATCACATGATTCCAGTCAAACATGTTATTAAAGACTGAGTTTCAAATTATTCGAGCATTAGTCATCATAATTGGAATTATGGTATGTCTCTCTTTTTCTTTTTTGTTTAATTGAAGCTATTGCGATATCTTTACATCAAGCAAGTGATTCATTAAAACTATTTATTGGTTTCATCAACTAAGTTGACTCTTTGATTCATTAAAACTATGTATCTTTCTGTAGATGACCGGTATTAAAGTAATTTGTTGTGAACAGTTTGGAGTCTTAAATTGGATGGGGCAGCTAAATTTGACACAAGATTTATGTTTGATAGTAGAAGTTGTCCCTGTGGATGCTTCATGATCCCCATCCACCATGGATGCTTTGGTTACTTCCTTCTGTTTGACTATACTTTCCCTTGCCATTTACAGGGGTGAGATGTCGTTTTGTAGCTTTGAGTGCAGACAACACAAGATGAACCAAGATGAGCTGAGAGATAAAGGAATGCTGGAGTCCAAGAAGAGTGATGCAACCCACTCAACCACAGATTCACAAAGCACTGGTGATGGCCAAAGTTGACTGCTAAATGATGCAGCATGTTAGTTCCTCCAAAACATCAATGAAGGTACGTACATACCCCAGCTGCCTCAAAAGGAAGTTTTCACTCTTATTTGCCAACCAACGCAGTATTGTATATATATATATATATATATATATATATATATATATATATATCACATTTCATGTAGGCATATGTTGGTGTTTGCATACATTTGTATTTATGAATCCAATGGGTTCATGTATGTAGAAAACTTGGTCATCTTTTTGTTGGGAATTCCTGTTGCTTCTTTGTTTCCAAAATGGAAATAAAAGAGTAAAGCTAAAATGATTTATTCTTTTGCTATGTAGTATCAATATCAAAGAAGTCAATACTGTTGCGTGGTAGCATTTGTATGGTCGTCTTCAATCGAGGGTGTGCATATCAGTTTTCTAACTGTATGTTCTAAGATGACCTTTCGCCAAAGCATGGCAGTAAAAGCTGACCAATTTGATAGTTCTGAGTCCACAAATGTAGATATGGACCCTGGCCATTGGTTACTAGGAAAGAAATATTATCATTTATAAATAATTAAGTGTAGTCTCTCTCGATCAACGGAGTAATGATATGCCTCGTTAAAAAAATGATCATGTAACAATGTTATGGTCATGAGTGATGAAATTATTATAATTATTGATAAGTGGAAAGGTAGAGAGACCAAGTTCACATAATGGTGGAGGAATAAGATTTAGATGGTATCCAGACTCCAAATAGCTTGGAACTCCTGTTATTGCTATTCTAGAGTGAGTTCGTTCCTTTGGTTGCTAAGGATGAACACAGGTTTTTCTCTAATCTCTTGCAATGCTTCCTGCATTGAGAGAGTGTTTGGTGTTCGTCTGACCGATCCCTTAACTCATAAGACAAAAGTCCATTGCAGCAAAGATGAAGACTTTGGTGGCATGTCATTCATTCTATTGGTTGGTTCTTCAATACGAATCACAAACAGAAAACAGAAAACAACTTGAAAAACCCCCCAAGAACTAGTTGATCCACAATGGTATGATTATAAACAGAAAACAGTCTTGTAGAAAACAACTTGAAAAACCCCCCAAGAAGGGTACCGAATCATTTAGCTAATTTGGTGCAGAAAAAGGTTCAAGAGCAAGAATGATGCTTAGTTGATTGTGGATTATTGCATGAGACCTACCTGCCACATACATACCCATGTTTAACTCGAAATTTTATGTTGTGTAAACCTCGACCAGCTTTTAAAAGGCAGCTTTCCACTTGCTTAGCTACTACTAAAGATCTTTACTGTTAACAGCAGCAGGCAAAACATCCACAGCTCCTACAGGGTCATGTAAGTTCAATGTCCAACAGTATTCCACTAAAAAGCTAATCATATTCCCTCCCACAGTCCTATGAAGTTCGACTGTAAGTAGTGTTCATGCCGCTGTTGAAAAGGGGCTACTTCAGGATCCAGGAATGCTGTCCGCCAGGTAACATAAAGATATCAAATACTCGAATTAAAACCACAAACAATCACTCACATAGGTAGATGATGTATTCTACTTAGCCGAATCTGATTTCTAATGGGATAACTCACTCATCAGCAGATTCATAAGTATAGATAAACTATCTGATTTCTAATGGGATAACTCACTCATCAGCAGATTCATAAGTATAGATAGTATTGTTACCTGAGATAAGCTTAATGATACCATGAAAGATGACAACGATAAAAAGTCATTAATCGAACCTTGAACCTCAGCATACTATGTGAAATTGCACTTACCGCTGAGACGGTGGTCATACTTTCCAGATTCCAAGTTAAGCTCTAAAGTAATGTCTTTTAAGATGATCTAAGTGGAGGAAGAAGCAAAGAAAAAAGGAAAAAAGAAATTGAAATGGGAGAAGTACCTATTACTCACTCAAAACATGATCTTTCTACTTACCTATGCATATAAAATAGTTAATGTCAATAATAGAGGACATTAATGACACCTCATCATACGAAGTGATATTATTTTTACTGCTGAGGTGGTTGGTTATTCTTTCTATGTTCCAGGTCAGGTTCTAAAGTAATATGGTCTAAGTGGAGGAAAGAGCCAAAACAAAAAAATAATTTGGAACAGGAAAAGTACCTATTAGTTAGTCAAAACATGATCTCTATATTATCTATGCATATGAACAATAGATTGATGATAGAGGCCACCAATTCCACCTCAGCATAATAGATTGATGAAAGTCAAAACATGATCTCTGTATTATCTACAGCTAAAGTGGTCATCCTTTCCAAGTTCAGGTGAAGTCCTAAAGTAATATTTTACAAGATGATCTAAGTGGAGAAAGGAGCCAAAAAACATGAAATGGAAAATGTACCCATGAAATGGTCAAAGCATGATCATTATGCTACCTATGCATACAAGCAATAGATCAGCGAATGATAAGGATCATTAATCACTCCTCAGAATACTAAGTAAAATTACACTCACCGCTGAGGTGGTCATCCATTCCAAGTTCCAGATTAAGTCCTAAAGTAATAACTTGCAAGATGATCTAGGTAGAGGGAGGAGCCAAAAATTGAAATGAAAAAAGCACCTATTAGTTAGTCAAAACATGATATTTGTATTATCTATACATATAAACAGTAGAATAATTTACATGACAGAAGCCACTAATCACACCTCAGCATATTAAGTGAAATTGTATTTACTGCCAAGATGGCCATCATTTCCAAGTTCCAGGTTAAAATCTGAAGTAATATCTTTCAAGATGATAATTATCTATCAAGATGATCTAGGTGGAGGAAGGAGCAAAAAAAAAATGAAATGGGATAGTACCCATTAGTTAGTAAATACATGATCTTTGCACTCCCTATGCATATAAACAATGGGTTAATGTCGATAATAAGCATCACCAATCAGATCTCAGCATACTAAGTGAAATTATACTTACTGCTGAGATGATCATCCTTTCCAAGTTCCAGGTTAAGTTCTAAAGTAATATTTTTCAAGCTGATATAGGTGGAGGAAGAAACCCAGAAAAAGAAAAAATGGGAAAAGTACCTATTAGTTAGTCAAAACATGTACTACCTGATATCTATGCATATAAGCAATAGATTAATGTCAATGACAGAGGTCATTAATCAAAACTCAGAGTGCTATGTGAAATTGTACTTACTGCTGAGGTGGTGGTAATCCTTTCCAAGTACCAGGTTAAGCTCTAAAGTAATAATCTTCCAAGATGAACCAAGTGAAGAAAGAAGCCAAAACATTAATTGAAATGGGAAAAAGTACCTATTTGTCAGTCAAAATATGATCTTTGTGCTACCTATGCATGTAAACATTAGATTAACAAACAGAACAACTAAATATAAGCACTAACTGCTGTTACTAAACCTGCTCATGCAATCTCAAGCTTTGCATTCCACAGAATCCAAAATAAAGCAAACATTCAGAGGTAGTAATTCAATACGGTCAACCATTGTCGATGATATGTAACAGATTCATAAGATTGCATAATCCATAAAAAGAGCTAGTAATTACTCCAAGTAACCAAGTCTAATAAGAGAAGTTTCTCCATAGTCATAAGCTTAGTTGAAAGCTAGATCAAAACTGCAAAACCAAATATGTCTAGAAGCAATCCGGAAGAACCAACAAGCAAAGAAAAGCACGGAAGGTTGAACCTTTCGGGGGAAAGATCCATACTGTAGCATCCCACGGATCTAACGGTAAGACTTCTGGAACCGGGCACGTGCACCGCGACCACCAAACTTCTTGGGCTCGCATCGACGGGGGTCTGCGACGAGGAGGGTGCGGTCATAGCGAACGAGGATGTCCTTGATCTCCTTCTTGGACTGCTCGTCGACAAACTTCTGGTGGTAGGCAACGAGCGCCTTCGCGATGCTCTGGCGGATGGCGTAGATCTGGGAGGTCTTACCGCCACCGCGGACGCGAATACGGATGTCAACGCCCATGAAGCGCTGCCGCCCGAGGAGGAGGATGGGCTCGAAGGCCTTAAGGCGGAGGATCTCCGGCTTCACCAGCTCGATCGGGACGCCGTTCACCTTGATCAACCCGCGGCCGCGCTTGCAGTGCGCCACTGCCACCGCCGTCTTCTTCCTTCCGAAGCACTGCACCGACTCCACCGGTGCCGTCGCCGCCGCCATCGCCATCGCTCGAGACGTGTGAGAGACGGAAGAGATGAAACCCTAACCCCAGGAATTCGATCGGCGCGTAGGAGAGTCGAATGGCACACCGTTGCTTATATAGCAGACCGGACTAGGGATCAGGAAGCGGTTCATCCCACGGAGTTGATTCGCACCGGTTGAACCGGTTCGGTTCAATCTGGTGTAGACCGTTGCTATTTTGCATTCTACCAACTCCGGTATACGCTTATTATATAGGAATCCAAATACTATTGGTATTTACACTTCGCTCCCTCCGATGGCATAAAAGATCAATAGAGAGTTTTCATATTTGCCCCTCTAAATTTTTCTTTATCAGATACATCCGTAGAAAGCCTTAAAACTTTATATTTAACATTATACAGTTAATCCCATTTATGTCTTGATTTTTTTTTAGCAATAAATATTTTTTAAGCAATTGTAAATGAATTCATCATATGATAAAAGGAAAATTACTTTTGATTTTATATATATACATACATCCATACATTTATAGAATAATTTATCTTCAAAAGCTAGACATAATTATTATTTTTATTTGGAAGTGTTCCCCTTTTCTTTTTACCCAAAAAGCTCATGAATTGATTCATTTTTTGCTATTTTTTTTAAATAACCAAAAAATAAAAATAAAGTAACTATCAATATCATATATTTTATTATATTATGAAAACTTGCTATGATTTGGATAAATTTTACAGTGTTATATGTATAAATAAATTATGTTGCACTCCATTACAAAATCAATATGTAAATATGTTAAATTGGACTCTAAAAATTATTTAAAAAGAAAATAATAAATTAACTATATTTCCTTTTGATGGTTAAGGCTGAAAAATGAGTTTGGTAAATTTTATCATGTTACACTCATAAATGAACTAATCATGTCTTGATTTTAAGGATATATTTCTTATTTTTAAACTTTACAAGTGATAAAAAGATATCACATTTGTTAAAATAGAATTTCAAAATTCCAACCAAGAAAAAGAGGGTCAATACATCTCATCAGTTCAACGCATGATTTAAATTGCTTATCCACATTTGTGAGCTTTCATATAGTGATTGTAGCATTCAACAAATCGTTGAACGTCTCTATATCTAAATTACGATCGAGGATCTTATGATATTATCTCATTAATTTTATGTCTTTATCGGATACACTCCGACTTCGTTTCTTTAAGATCTCCTACCGAATCATCCGATCTTTAGACACCAAATTGATTCCAAACCCCTTACGTCTCGAACAAGCAAACATGTATATATATATATATATACATAAACTTGGCACCACAGGCGCAATGGCCGAAAGCAATTTGTTCTCTCATCTCTGGACCATTGCAGAAGTGGCTTTCTCCTTTCCTTTTGCAGTTCCTTTATGTGGATGGATCATGGGAGCACTGAGCAGTATTATAATTCACTTGCAAGAAGACAGCAGTAGTTGAATCTTCTTTCCTTCTCATTCCATGATCATTCAATCACCAAAAAGATTGCATCAAACAAGGAGAAATCAGAGTAATCCTATGAAATTACTGCTCTGTGTTTCCAACTTTTTAGTAGAATTTTATCTCACTGCATCATTCCACAGCTACTCCATAACGAAATGTCAAAAGAGTACTGATCTTCCCGAAACATTCGCCAATGATTCAACATAATTCACTACATATCTATTACATATTAGGCATGAAAACATCAAAGAAAACCACCTGATAAAAGCAAAGTTTATCTGCCTCACCATGGCAGACAATGTAATGTCTTGACAGAACTCTCAGTCAAGATCGATATATGAAAAAAAACGAAGTAAAAGAACCACGAAGATGGAATCCTCCACAACTCGAACTGCAACTCCTTCACAGAGCTTGCTTCACTCACCTCTCTACCTCACTCCTCACCACCAATGGACTCTGCTGCGCACACACCAAGCTCCACACACACTCTACTGTCACTGAGCTCCCAAGCTCAACAGCAAGCAGGACACCTCACTATTCCATTCTCATTGCACTCCATGCATCGCCGGAATCCACCTCCGACGTCCTCCCATTCCTCCATCTCTTCCTCTTCTTCTTCTTCTTCTTCTTCTTCTACGTACACCTTGCAGCTCCCTGAGCACTTGCCACAGATCACAAACCTGATGTCTCCGCAGTCCTCGCACGGCCCTCCTCTTCCTCCTTCGCTCGCCGCTTCACAGTCACTGAAGGCCTTCGACAGCTCGCCGTCCTCGTGGATCCGCCTCACCTCCTCCACCCCTCCCGCGTACCTGCCATTCGCGAAGACCGACGGGAGCAGCACAGCGACGCGATCGGCTCCGAGCATCTCATTGAGCTCGTTCCTGAACCCTCTGTCCATCGAGACGTCCCTCTCGTCGACCCGAAGTCCGTAGCCCTTCAGAATCATCCTTACCAGGAAGCAGTCCTCGTAGGTCTTCCGCACCCCTCGAAGGCTTGTGAAGTAGAGCACCACCTTCCCCTCGCCGCCGGGCGGCCATCTCTTGAGTTCTGAATCCTGCCCGGCCTTGGCATTGGCCTTCTTGGAATCGAGTCTTTCTTGGAAGCCACTGATCCTTGCGTGGATGACGTTGGCTGATGGAGTTCTCGACTCGGGGGACCGGAGGAGGCAGGGGTGCTGAGGGGAGAGCTCCTCCATGGCCTTGCGAAAGGCGGATAGAACCTCCGGATCGAACTCACCGATGCCGACCGCGTGCTCCTCGATCTTTGCCGGCTTCCAGATAGGAGAAGGGAACGCCAAGGCGTTGCTCCACACGGTGCCTTGCGTCGATCCGAGCACCCTGTTGGATTCATGGATGGGGTAGAACGAGAAGGAATGGCGGTCGACGACGGTGGCGGAGGAGAATCGAGGAGCGGCAGCCTCCTCCAATCCTGCCATGAGCTCCAAGGCGTCCACGGCCTCGGGCTCATTGGGTGGCGTCTCAGTGGGCGTTGTCGGGATTCGCTTGCTCATCTTCTCTGTCCAGGCCTTGGCCTCGGCGAGCTTGCTCTTGAGATCTCCATGATCGTCGCCGACACTCTGCTTCGCTTCCTTGTCGAGCTTGAAGGAGCCGAGAGTGGCGGAGGTGAGAGCGACGACATGGTCATTGCTGCCGACACCGGCCTTGTGGTCGCGGGGCAACGAGCGGCTGCGGGCGAGCGGGGAGGGCGACCTCCGGCGGTCGCGGCGGGCCTGCTTTGAGGTGGTGCAGCCCATGGAGAGGTGCAGAAAAAGGAGTTGTTTTGTGATAGGAACTGAACGAAGCTTGAGCTTTGGAGGAAGTGAGCTCTTTGGGATCAGAGTAGGTGGATCAACATAAGGAACAAACCCTGAGGATTATGTGGATTATATTGGAATTTGAGGACAGCAGAAGAATGTGATATGACTGAAACAAAGAGCTTTCTGATAAGAACAGAGGAAGAACTGGGTCTGACAATTTAGAAGATGACCCAGTAACACAGACAAGTTGAAGTGGATTCAATATGAGAGAGAGAGAGAGAGGATTTGAAAGGGGAAAGAAAAGGTGAAAGTGAAATGCTGAAAGAACCTTCATACTATAAAGGAAGCCAGTCCTGCTGTCGTGACATAATTCAAGTGCTGGTGCAATCTTTCCATGTCATATCAGCCTTCAGAAAAATCATGCAAGATTATGGAGTAGACACCTCATCAGGATTATGAGACTACAATGGGGAGAAAAATGAATAATACATAACATATTCTTATCTCTTCTCAGACTTAGTGTAGTCAAAAACTTATTTTTGACTACATCTGTGGATTCTAAATAGTGTGAAAGAATTTTCATCTTATGGAGTGTGGACTTACTGGATTGGGAGAAGACATGTTCAGGGATCCCTCTTTCCTCAGAAACAGCATTGCATATGTGATGGACAAATTGGGAGGTTTGAAATCTGAAGACTTTGCGTGTCAGGCCCCCATGCAAATCACAACTTAGTTGGAGAACAACCTGTTGATCAGCAACATAGACAAGCCAAACTCTTTTCAGTCAACAGAAAAAGCAAGTCAAGCTTATCAGGAATTTTTCTGACATATTCAAGAGCACTCCAATCTTCTCTAAGGAAACTTTATGTTCTGATGATAATTTGCTAAGAAAGAAAATTTTTTGCTGTAGATATGTATTTCACAAACAGAAGCAGATGGAATAACCAATGATTGCTTGTTGGCACTTCTTGGACTCCATTAGAATGTCTTCTTGACAGATCATAGTCTCACCTGTGATATCTCAAAATCAGAGAAAGCCAGTAAGCTTCAATCAATATTCTTCAATTTACTTACATCAACTGCTAGTAAAATTTTCTGTCCATATCCTGATTCCAAGACTTAGTACATGTTCAAGTTTGTGAAATCACGAGAATAATGCTTGGTAGGACTAAGAAGAAAAATTAAGTTGCCAATTTAGTGTCAGCTGCACCTTCAGTTTACAAAATGCTGGGCACAATAACATACCAAATGTGGATGCCTTGATGCATAATTCTATATTAGAATTTATGTCCTAATCCTCTGCCACAAAAAATAATAGCATAATTCTATATTATAGGCTATTCTGTTATGATCTCCCCCCACCATCAGTTGCTATACTTAGTTAAACAGGAAAAAGCTTTACTGGAAATGGCCACCGGTTGGACTCTTCCATTGTTGAATGCTTGCTCTTATTGGTCAAACCAGCTTTAGATGTTAGTTGAAGTGGAGCAGTCAAATTGTCTGACCCTTCCTTTCCTTTATATTTATTTTTTTGGAGTATTTACCCTTAATTCAAGGACCCTGTTCAATGGGATTTTGGAATACAGAATCAGACAAGCAGAAATAACTTTTTGAAGATGGGATTCAAACATCCTAGTTCTGCAGGCAGCTTCCTACAGAGTGACATTATCCAAGTAGACAATCACTAGGAGACTTCATGACAACAATAACTGTAATTTGGAGATTTCATGACAACAATGAGTATAATTCTGTGTCAGTAAGCTGTCAAGTTTATCTCAACAACTCATGGCCATGTACAGAATCCCTTCAATATCTCATTAATAAATGAGGCAATTCCTATTTTCTCCAATAAAATAAAAAATAAAAAATAAAAAAGGACCTCTAAAGTAACTGCAAAGTTTTATCTCCTTTTCATTAAGCAGTCTGGAGGTACAAAAAATTACATGCAAACCTGAGAATCACTTCATAATTACTTCTTCATACTTCAGAGAACTAAACAAACGAAAACTTTGGTTTTGAAAGAAGGGAAATCCTGAGAAGGCATAATTGCTGAGTTTCTAAACTTCTTGTGAAAGCAAGATAGAAATCTCAAACTTTCCAGTGTTTCACGTGCAATTGTCTACTTTGAAAGAATATTCAGGGCAATATTCATTAAGAAACATTAACAATTCACAACCATTTGAATAAATATTATTGTCTTCTAACCCTATACTGGATTACTAGGTTGCCATTTAAGCTGGAGATATAGCTTGTTGTTTGCTATGTAACAGCTTTGAAGTAGCAAATTAAGGTTGAATAACCAAGTCTCATCTGCCAGTTTCATAAGTATCACTACTTCCTTGAAAGCTTCAACTGTGTGCATTTTGCCCACTTTGGAGGGGTTAACTACTTGTGATTGAGCAACTGAGTTTATACATGAAAGAAATGAAACGAAAGCTGCCCTTTTGAACCTGTGATTTGGACATCATACCATTTCCCTTTCCTAAAAGATCAACTTGACACCTGGTGCTTGCACACCATTTGGCAGACAACCATGTGCTTGCCATTCTAATGGGACCTCTTTTCTATGCTGTTTGTGACTTTAGGACATGTAATAATATAATAACCTACATCTCTCTTTTTTGCTTGTTCCTATTGTGCCTAGTATGATGAACGTGCTCTTGGCATATCAGAAAAAAGACAGTCGGTCAGATTTATATTTTGCAGATAAAAGGAGCTTCCGAGTTCATTATTTCTCATGAATCAAATCATACAAATAACATTTTTACAGAAAAAAAAATACACAAAGCAGTCAACTAGATAAAAAGGTTGATATTTTAAATTATATAATGCTTATTTAAGAAAACTCTATTATATATTTCAGAAAGCAGAAAAATTGCATAAGTAGAGACATATATAAGAAAGATTTAGTAAATGTGCACTTGAAATATATAGAAAACAAAATGTGTACAAACTCATTATTCTTTATCAATCATTATAGTTGTGTAAATCAAGAATTTCTTTTGGAGTCCACAGATAGTCATTCATACCAATGAGGTTTTCACAGTTTACATTTAAGAAAACCTATTTGAAAAAGCCTTTTAGGGCTAGAATCTATATATCAAGAGAACAAATGTGGTCAACCCCATTGGTTAATTCTCTCACAATGAATGTCATGAACAAAGATGAGACTAAGTAGATGCAAGTGAGACCTGCTTCTAGTTGCTTTTTTCACTTACGAATGTCACAGATTTCTGAAAAATACATGGACTCCAAGCTTAATAATAAAAATATTATTGATAGTTCAGTTACAGTTATTAGTCGGAATGGGCTGGGTAAATTAACTAGAATAACTAAACCTTCAACTTACATACATCATGGTAACTTTTCTTATGAGTGATAAACCTTTTTAAAGGCTAGGCATAACTTTGACTCTTTTCTTTTTTCCATTTCACAAGCTGATAGCAAATGCTAAACTCAAACAGGCAAGTTAGAGTTTCTATGAAGAGCTGCCAGTATTTAAAAGTTTTATGTTTAAAAGTGTCAGTATTATGTACAACATGTAAAATTTTTACTTACAGTGTTGGTACTTTGTTTTGCATTGAACATTGTATGCTATTATCATTCAAGAATCAAGCATTATCTACTCCTTTAATTGTCACCCTCTTCAAATCTTCAGGTGTCATCACTTCCAGCGCTTTGCATTCTTCAGCCTCTTGGACTTGGCTTTTGCTTGCTAAAAAGCCAGCATTTTTTGCTTCTTCATGACTTCTCTCTCTTCCTGGATAAACAGAAGATAGCCACAATTACGTCAGTGTAACAGACTACTGTCTAAAGCAAACTTCTTTTCCACCTATTTTGGACAGTCAATAAAATTTCACCTTTGACATCTTAGACTTGGCTTTTGGTTTTGGAGCCTTTTCTTCAACCTCAGCCTCGCGCTCCAGTTCTTTTTCCTTAGCCTCGAGGTTCTTCTCCAGATAATACTGTTAAAAAATATAAAGGAGACGTCGATGGTTTTATTTTGTAATAAATAAAGGAAACACAAATCAGTTAATTTGCATAAGGAAGCTCAAAGTGGATCATGTTTATCAAACTGGAGTAAGATTTCACACGATCAGGAAGGTGAAGATGGGACTGCAGACCTAACATGGGGATACACATTAATTCATGTACTATTCCATCAGAAACACCCTTACCACTCTAGCAAGGGAAGAAATAACAAGAGAGAGGAACACTACCCATGTGACCAAGCACTTTGAAAATGAGGGTCACATCATGTTGTAGGACATATTTACTTAACAATATTTTTCAATTCTGAAATCCCCATATAAAATAAAAAACATGGAAGTGAAGAAATTTTAATCATAATAACCAATAATAGGACCACACCAAATATCTTATATTTTAAAGCAAGTTATCAAGCCTGTTCATGACCTATTTACATAAACAGAAGTTACAGAACATATAGAAATATCTGAAAGAGTTCGAGGATCAAGGTATAGCATATAGATAACAGAATGAGGACACAACTTCTAGTCGGATTGAGTACAAAAAATTACATTGTAGTCGCCTGCATAATCTTGCAGTGTTTCATCTTTCACCTCCACCACCCTATTAACTATCTGTCTGATGAAGTAACAATCATGAGAAATGGTGATAACAGTGCCTTGGTATTCAGATATAGCCTCCTGATCCAGCACGACAAAAGTTTTAGAACAATAACAAGTCAGTTACCGCAAACAATTGATGTTGTGCAGACAGTTACATGCACCGTAAAATAGTTTACCTCTAGCACCTCTTTTGACTGTATATCTAAATGGTTGGTAGGTTCATCCAGAACTAATAAAGTAGATGGCTTCACCATATATTTGCAAAAAGCAAGTCGCGCCAGCAACCAAAAAGTAAGCCAAATTACAATTATGTCACATACAAAATAAATATGAACATAGGACATGATTAACATACAAATAATTCTTTTGTACAGCTAATGCGGCAAACAGAAGCTGAATAATTAACTAGAAATGAAGAATAGAGTAGCATGAACAAGTGAGTACAAATTGCCATACACTGGCCAATTTTCATGGTTTCAATGCCACTATGAAAGCGCCAAGTATACCAGCTAAATGATTACACAAGCAGCACTCCATGACTTTCATTTATTACTTTGTAGGTGAAGTTTTGTCTTACAATTGTTACAAAATTGGGAATCATACAAAACTACTGCCAATAAATACAACAATTAAACTGAAGTTGTTTCACTTGTTATAATTTATGTGAAGTATCCCTGCACATCAACATGCTGCACTACATTGTCACTAATATATTAGGTTAGTAACAAACTAAAAAGTCTGTGAATGAAGAGATGAGGCATCTTATTCTTCAAAGTATTTTCATCTGTCACATGTGTATTCCTTTTTCTTTCTTTTATCTGGTTGTGGTATATCCATATGAAAATGCACTACCAGGACATCCTTGAAGACTTTACTTTTGCTGGTGGAAGAAAAATTAAGGTTGCCATTTATGCTTCAGATATTATTTTAGTAGGCATCATCATGGAAATGCAATTTGTAGAGAATGACAATATAGAGGTCCATAGACTTTAGTCTAATAATTTGAACATAGAAAACATTGATTTGATCTGCTTATGATTAAAGTTCCTCTTTTGTACAATTAAAAAAGAGTAACACTATGTGACAGCCCTAAATGGAATATGAAATTTAAAAAAAAATAGAACTTCCTGGACTCTGTTCTGTACCTTTTCTATCAAGCATGTCTGCTTTGAAGTTACAATGACCAAGGAGATCTTTTATATCATCAATTCTCCAGTCCGCTGTGGCTTCTTCAACAGTCTCAAGGACAGTTTTCTCCAGATCAAGAGCTTCTGCCTGTTAAGAAATACCGAATTAAACAACTCTGGAATTATTCTAGAAACAAAAGATTCTTCAAAATTGAGTTGCATTCTTTAATTTTCAAACTAACATGCATCTTAACAATAGCATGGAACAAAACATGGTTGACAAGTATGGCAAAGCTATGAATATTTATTTCTTTATTTCCAAAAACCATCATCACCTTGCTAGAATTATGGTAACCAACTGAAGATATGGAAGTCAGGTGCAGTACACTTACCTGGTTTTGTTTGAAATAATTTGGCAACACATTATGCTCCCCGAGCAAGACATCAACCCCCTGAGGCTTCTTGAAGCCCATAATTAGTTTCAGTAAAGTACTCTTTCCACATCCATTTGGCCCAATAATGGCTATTTTCTCGCCTCTCTCAACTAAAAGATTTGCCTTTTCAAACAACAGCTGCATATAAAAACCAAAGATACTTATTTGCTACACAAACATGAAATTACTAACCTCATACAGCCAATATACATATGTATAACTTCTCTTTCCTTCTAATAGAAAGAAATATTTTATGAATAATCACTAAGATTTACATTTAACAAACAAAAATTACTTACATTATCACCATATCCAAAATTTAGATTCTTAACCATTAAGAGAGTTCTCCCACTTCTTCCTCGCTCAGGGAATCTAATCTTTAATTGCTTTCGCTCAAAGGGCTTCTCAACTTGTCCTTCTTGAAGTTTCTCCAGTTTCTGGCAAGATATCGCAATGAGGTAAGAACAATAACATACACAATAACTGATCAGATTTAGGTCAGGGAGGCATCATTCAAGCCTCAAGAAACTATATAATACATGGCATAATATGTACCAAATATAGCAAAATACCACCAAAATCACTGATTCTAGAAAGGTTTCCCAATATACTCAAAGGCCTTGTAAGTTTCATGTTTAACCTATGGTATCAGTAACATATTTCTACTCTATTATTAGTAATCAGGTTCTTCATGTATTTTTAATTAAAAAAACCCTCAAATTGACTTCTGAAAATAAAATATTCTTATTTTCAGAATGATATATGTTACTGTATTATTGATAGTCAAGTTCTTCATGTAATTAAAAAAACCCCCTCAATTTGACTTCTGAAAATAAAATATTCTTGTTTTCAGAATGATATAATAAACAGCTAGTAGTCAAAGTCACTAAAAATGCATCACCTCTATAAAAATGTGATGCGGTGGCTTCAAAATGTAGGAGTTCTTGGGAGGTAAAAAGAACAACAAGGTCAATTACATAATTTGTGTAAAATGTTCAAGGAGACAAGATTGGCAGTTACCTTCTCTTCACTAGATGCGCGTCGAGCATTAACTCCACCTCCTAATCTGTTTATTAACTCTTTTGTATGCTAAATCTCCTTCTGTTGTTTTTCCTACGCTGCATATTGAGCTTCCACCCATGCTGCTTTTGCTAGAACATAATCAGAATAGTTGCCCATGAATGTCCGTGACACTCCCATATCCGTTTCCACAATTTCGGTGCACAACTGATCAAGGAAAGCTCTGTCATGGGATATGATAACCATTGGTACATCTTGCTTATTAAGATAGCCTTCCAGACACGCCCGACGAGACGCTCGACACCCCAGTGCTCTACTTCTTCTTCGCCGGCCTCCTGGACCCATCTTCCACGGCACTATCCGAGAAGAGGGATTCGAGATCAGCAGTGGTGGCGTCCGCATCCGTGATGGCCGTCTCAACGGCGGCCCTGGCCGAAACACCGAGCTTGCCCACCGTGGGGCTGGGAAAGCCGGTCTTGTTCACCAAAGACACACCAAGCCCCCTGCTTTGCGAGGGAGAAAGCGAGGCGAGATGAAGCCGCGGCCGTATTCTCGCCCTATCCGAGTCCAAGAGGGGCGAACCTAAGAGGAACCTCGATCGGAGATCAAGGTTTTGGAGCTTGGTCGAAAGATCCATTGCCCGCAGCAAGAACAGTCGAATCAGGACGAAATTTAGAGAAAAGGCGAGGATTCTTCGAGCGAATCGCCGTAGATTAGGGCTATGGATAAGATTCTGTACCAAGATATCCACGGCGATCTCTCGGCGGCAAGAGCTCCACGCACGAAACTCTCCGCCCACCGCGATATTTTTGAGCGCGATGCAGATATTTATTAGAAACGAATAAAAAATTCCTCGGCTTTTCTCGATTTATAGATTGATCAAGTTCGTACCCCTGCCATTTTATCTAATTACGAACAGACCTCCTTGATTGAGCGGATGATCGAGTGGATGAGATGGACTCCTGTGGCGAAAGAATGCAGATCTCGACGGTGGAGATGGGCAAGATGGCATATTGGTTGTTTCTTCCGAGAGTCGAGGTCATTGATGGAAGAATATATATGGTCGTTTAGTACGGATAGCGAGCGTGTGGCCTCGCGAGTGCTTTAATAGTCGCGTGCCGATCGCTAGCCACACGTGCGGTCGTTGCAGCTCGTGGGCTTCCCCGGTCCACATGTTCAACTGGGCCCCTTTTGGGTTGTGGAGCCCATCAATTGGGCAGCATAGCTACAAAGACACCCACAGGCAACATGAGAATTGCGTCAACAAACACGTGAAATCTGATAATTTCAGTGGACGAGCAGAAAAGTCGTCGGCACCCAAATGAGAACTTCGATCATACGTGCAAGAAAGATCGAGCATTAATAGGATCAGTACATAAAACAGTACTGCGCAAGGAAGATCCACAGCATTCTCGTCTCATCTAACGAGGAAGCGATGAACAACCTAACGTGGATCGTATCACATCAGCAAGCTCCTAATGATCGCGGCTTCAGCACCGCTGATGTCCGCCATGGCAAGCAACTCCGAGAGCCTCTCGCTCAGGTCATCCACCTCTCGGTGCAAGCTTCTGAGGTAGCTGCATGTCTCCTGCAACACCCTGGCTGCCGACACCTGCACGCAGTAAGATGTTGCACGCGGATCTTAATGGAATGAGGCAGCTGTAAGATGTTGCATGCGTGCCTACCCTATGATTGATCCCCAGGCGTGCCTCAGGAAGAACAGCTTGCAGCTTCGCCATGAGGTCGTTGATCTGTTCGTCGGTGATGCTCGGCGACATGGACTGTCTCGATCGAGACCTTCGACCGGACATCTTGTCTGCGGTGTTGCTCGAGTAGCCGTCGAGTTGAGGAGGAACACAGAAGGTGTTGTTGAGGAGGAAGACGAGTGCATGGAAGGACGAAATGGGCCAGTGCTCTACTTAAGTACTGATGCAAGAAAGAAGAAGAAGAAGACGAAGAAGAAGAAGAAGAAGAAGAAGGAGATCTAGAGAGAGAGAGAGAGAGAGAGAGAGAGAGAAAGAGAATCGCATCAGGGGATACGCCATGCTGTCCCATACTTGGTGTATCTGCAAGTGGGTATTGTGAAGAGGAAAGGCTTGGCCAGGTTGGGAGACAACGAGGCAGGTCTTGTGTCAGGGGAAGCCACGCGGTGCATGTTATGCTGTGACCTGAAGGAATGGATCCTCATGCAGTGGATCCATGGAGGAGTTGCATGTTTGGGTTTACATCAAAGGAAGGGGAAGAACGACTTTCTTGCACGGACTTGGAATAGTGTATGGGTTCGCCTTTGAAGCAGTAGGCAGAGGATGGAGATGGTCACCTGCAATGGGAGCTTCTCCATCAAACAGGTTGTCTTTCATTGAAAACCACACTGTTTCCAACCCTTTCTTTTTTTCTTATGTTGTATATTTATAATATTAAAACAAATACACAGATCAATTTTTAAATCTTATGTGAATATTCTCATCGTGGGATTTGTGTAAAATATTTCGATCACAAGCTAGTGAGACAATTCCCAGCTTGATCATGAGAGAGAGAGAGAGACTCCTTTGGGCACATTGAAGAGGTGTGGCATCAAGTGTTGACCAGTCAAACGACGACCCCCAAGTGCTGCTTAATTGACCAGATTAAGCTAAAGGATGATATTATAATTATCTAATTATATATAAGGATAGGTTGGAGGTAAAATTTAGAAATTCAAGTACAAAAAACTTCTACATCAATAAATGAAATCCTTGGAATTTAAAGATTTGATTGTCTTAAATATTTTATTTATCTTAAAATTTTAGTAAGGGGAATAAGGAAGAAAAATACCCTAAGATATTAGTAAGGTTTTTTTTATTGTATTTATATGAGAGTGTGTACATAGAATTTTTCGACTTCGGTCTAAACTAAATCAGGAGATTATTATTTCTTATGATTAAATTCAGATATTGTTCTATAGATATATATATATAATAGTATCGAATGACTTCATTATTTTACATTTACATTTCTATCAAGTCTCTTAATTATTCTTTTGATATTATGATTTTAACACAAAATCTCTCATTCCAATACCATATTAAATTGTTAATCATCATTATTATGTATAAATATTTAAACCAGTATATGAGTGAAGATGCCAACAACATCTTCAACCTTTATAGTCATCCCACAGATCATTCAGATGGTAAATGACATCTCACAGTATCATATAAGAGTGGAATCATTTGCTTAGCCAGCGAATCACAGCAAAAAGCAGTATGCTAAAAGGTTTAGTGGTACAAACACTAAGTCCACTCACCCTCTCTTTGATGGTCCACATGTTCCCCTCTTTTTAGCTTGATGGAACCTGAAGATTAATGGTAGCATAGCCATGGAAACTGGAGATGGAACTTGCACTGCTCCTAAGTCTACAAGAATGTGTAGTGATCCGAGTCATTTAGTGGTAAGCTGAAGGACAACACATCAAGCCTTAACTTGGCACATGACCTCGAGCCAATGGACAGCTAAATCCATAGAGAAGTCATGTGGAATCATCACTACTTTGGCAGATGGATGCTGTGGGCACATCTTAAGGCAATAATTAAACAAACACCTTGTTGTGTAGCCTAAGAAGGATGCTGTGAGCACTCTCTCCCTCCTTGCTTGAATATTTTAGTGGTTGTGAGGAATCAGATGAAGCCAGAATCATAATTGGAAATGTTGGGTTTATTTCAGAATCATGTGTTGTTTATAGATCAAGTGGGATTTTACTATGATCCAACATTCAGATCATGTACAACCCATGTTGGTTGTATTTCAACATTTGAAATTAATCTTTCTTTGGTGGGGATAAAACTATATTCACACAGCTTAGTGCACTATGTTGCCTTTTATTTGCCTGATGAAATTGCATCATGTTGTATAGCTTAAAAGATTGTTGTTGATAGAATTTTGTCTGAGCGATTAGTAATTGTAAAGGCTTAAATTATTAAGACAAGACTTCTCATGTACAAGTCAATTTGGCTTTGATGCACTTTTTGAATCCCATCACACCTGAGAGTTTGGAAAATACTCTCCCAATCATTTCTTATTCATAAAATATTTTTTTTTATTATGTTTTATAATGATATGGCAATCCTTACTGGCTTGTTTATGTCATTTTTCTAAAATAATTTCTATCATCATGCAACATGCCATTGCATTTCTCTTACCTCATTGGAAATTCTTGCAGCTGGAAATTAAGTATAAGGCTGTCCTAAGAATAACAAGATATTATCCAACCATGCTAAGGAGTATTCTCAATCCAATTCAAAGAGGAAAATGATACAATTTCACAATTTATTGGCTTTTCAGCCAGTAATTTCTGTCTTCTCTCAGCCTTGTCACAAGCCATCCTCTTCTTCATGTCTTGAGCTGCTCCTCTCACTCACTCAAGGTTCTTCTTCTTCTCCCATCTCCTGTGCAAATATCACAGATCATCTTCAACTTATAAAAATAAAGGGTGACTTCCACACTGAAAATATAGAAATTTCTTCTTCTTCTGATAGTATACTATTCTATCAGATTGGCTCTCCTAACATAAAAGTTCCCTCTTTGTTTTCTTACATTTCCAACCTCATGAAATGATATGGATATACTTTCCTTTGAAAAAAAGAAACACAAACAGTGATGTATTTCTCAGAATTAGATCCTCAGATGCTTGACAGGATCCCTGGATAACAATCCTCAAGACAGTGCACCAACCACATCTTATTATGCTCCATAGCTTTACCATGAAGACAGCCAGATTAAGAGTTTCCAAACTAGTGTGGGAGCAGAGAATCTTATTCCATGCAAGTGATCTTTCATCACATTCACTACCTTCCACTTGCAGGTGAAAGAGAACCTAACTTATTACAGCTGTTGATGCATTCAAGTAGGATCATATTCTTCTCTACCTTCCACTTGCAGCTCTACTCTGTCTCCACCATGGCTTGCTTTGTTCTGAGTTACATGGTTGTCTGAACAAGAGAAAGAGCAAGGAGGACTGCAGTCAAACTCACTCAGATGTGAACTGTGTTTCTTTAGGCCATACATATAATTGTAGATGCTGATGCATCTTTAGGTGCATTTCTTATGTAACTTCCACTTGTAGTTTTATTTTGTCTCCACCTTGACTTGCTTTGATCTGAGTTCTCTGGCTGTCTGAACAAGACAAACAGCAAGGACTTCAATCAAACTCACTCAGATTTATTTAAACTTGTAGATATATGTCACTTTTTTTTATTATTCTTTATTCTGCTATGCTAACTTTTTCAGTGACAAAAAAAAAAAAGCTTTGGCTTTTGGAATTATTCTTTCATGGTGTGATTTAGGTGCTGATGCATCTTTGATGATCTAAGACTAGCATTATTAAATATATCTCATTTATATTAGAGAGCAAGCTGCTAACCTCAATAATAATATTAATAAAAAAAATTAGAGTCCTAACTTCTCGTATCTTTCTTAAGTCATGACTATAAGAAAAAACATGATCAATATTCCACTAGTCGATTTACATCATCTATCACTCAAGTTATCAGAGACTTGATTGATTTTTTCTAACTCATACGACTCTTTTATAATATTCATCTACTCAAATCTCTCTATAACTTTATACCCTCTCTTAAGAACTTATAAGGAAAAAAAATAAATTAGTGAAAGCAAATACTTGTTGGTGTCACTTTGTCAAAAATATAAATTTAAAATTGTACAAATAATTTATGTATAATATAAAATATAAAAATAGATTTTACAAGCTTGAAAAAAAGATTACATCGTAACTACTAAGTAATACGATGAACCATCGTTTAGCCCCACAAGTTCGAATATGCTTGAAAAAATTATCGATCAAAATTAACCAATGACACGTGAAAATAAAGTTATTCTAATCATTTTACTATGCATTATGAGGATGATTCTTAGTACAATAGTGAGATTATTTCTTTATGATTTAGGAGACGAATGCTCAAATTAAATCTAATAAAAAAATTCAAACTTTTCGTATTTCCACATGAGTTTAACTTCAAATATAAATTAAATTTAAATTACTTTCCCAACATAGAATTCAAGAGAAAATTCTATGTTATTTTACATGTCAACTACAAATTATTTATAGCACGAAACAAAGTACTAGCAAATACAAAAAAAAAAAAAAAAAAAAAAGTCAAGTGACCATCAACATCATTCGTCTTGAATCCATTTATAAAGTCTTAATTTTTATCAATATCTTAGAGGAATCAATGCAGCATTATAAGAATCAAAATTACTTTTACCCCCTAATCAAAATTACTTTGATCAACACAAGTGATGTCTTATCAATCGACTTTCTTTTCGTTCCCACTTGAACTTAAACAAATCGAACCTATCAAAACGTGAAAAAAAATATATTATCTTAATTCTTCGGATAGTCGACCAACTAAATCTACTCATCGCCGTAAATTTAAGTTGAATCGGAATCCTTTTTTGTCTATTATGATGATGCATCCGCACGAAGATTACAGTGCCTCCCGTTGCGAGTCATTTGGAGCGACGTCCGCCGTCCAACTGTCACGCTTGGACACGATCCCCCGTTTCGATTCGGGGACAACGCCGTCGTACGCCGTCCAAATTACCCTTCTCGGGGATTGGACATTGCAACACCCACCCAACCCCCGCTCGCGTGGGCCCCGCCACCATAAAGTCCAGCAGCGCTGGGCCCCGGTGGGCTGTCACCGTTGGATTAGGCCCACCGTGGACGGCTGGATTTCGTACCACTCTTAGCTGCACAAAAGCCGTCACCGAATTCAGATTCATGCATACATGTATGTATATAAAAGCCATGAATGGTGATAAACTAAGCTTTTTAGCTGGGCAACAATGGCAAGCGATGCTTCAACACTGTTCCACTACTCTCTGTTTCCAGTGGAGCAAGTGGAGTTGGTGATGGAGACATGACAGGAAGTTGATTCAGTTACAGGAGATAAGGGTCATCGTTCCTCGCTTTAGCTCACTTTTAATCTGCATCCAGCCACAGGATTCAGTGGAACAGCCTCATCTTGCATTAGAGATGTAACATCATGCGTTCGGAGAGAGATGGAAAAGCAGAGATGGGCTTTGCTTAAGTGAAAAGGAAAGCCGTGATTTTGATATCATTTTTGGAGAGAGACGGATCCTTCCCAACTGTAAATTTTGCTTGGTTTCATCTCGAACAAGGCAAACTGGAGCAGCGATAGGGGGAGAGGAGGACCTACCGAGCTGTGTTCCTGCATAGCTGAAGGATTAATCATGTCTGACACAAAAAAGTATTGATATGCTACTAAAAAGATTCAGTTTCTCAAATATGATGTAGCATGGTTTCTCATCATTTTTTTCCAATCATAAAAGAGAACAAATATATTAGCTCGAATGGGTCCATTTGGAATAAATCAAAATGTCTTTTTGGGGACAATAAATCCAACAATTTAATCAAAGAAAAAAATGATGGGGGAAATAAAAAGGGGCAGATGGGGTGTGGGGGAAGGGAGGAAGGGAGAGTGTGAATAAACAAGGGAAAGAAGGGAAGAAGGTGGAGTGGTCATTCTGGGAAGAGTTGACAGAGTAGATCAGTTCCGAAGAGGGGCCTCCTTTCCCCTCTTTATCTATCCCTCAGCCGCTTCGTCTGCCCAAATCTGATCGTAAGTTTCAGTCTTTGCTTGTCTTCTACGAGATCGCCGTCTCTTCCCTTCCTCCTTGCTGTGAATTTTACCTTCATTTAACGGAAACCGAGCTTGATCTCCGTCCTGGGATGTCAAAGATGGGATTTTTCTGCTGGGTCTGATGTCAGGGGATTAGATTAGTGAGTAAAGTTTGCATCTTTTTAGTTGGATCTTTCTTTGTTCTAGTGGTTAAATTTTGGCGAGGGTTCTTGGTTCTGATGCTTTGATCCTTGGGGACCTTTACTTCTCTCTGTGTTTCTCCTCTTCCGAGAGAGCGTTCGTGAAATTTGCCTGATAAGCAAGCTTGGAAGGTTTGCGCTTTTCTTCGATTTCTGCCCGTGTCGCATCTCGAAATCGACCGAAAGATTTGATTTTTATTGGCTTTGTCTTGTATAAGGATTCATGTGTTCATGTTTCGGCATGGATTCTAAATCTTGGTAGAGAAACACAGAAAGATTGCTTCTTCTTTTTTTTTTCCATCGTGAGGGGGGTTTGGTTTTCATCTATTTTCCGGTTTGAGGTTTGGGATTATACCTTGTAAGGGTAAATAGGGGTCCGACGTTGTTCCTTGTTGGAAATTAGGGTTTCTTGTTTGGTTTGGCATTTGGACATATGTGGGAAGACCGACCTCATTTGATCTCCGGGACGTTTGAAAGCACCTCTGACCGGGAATCGAATTGGCATCACTTGCCTGACCATTTCCACGAGTTGTCGAACAGCAAGAAACGTGTAGTGGACGAGGGTTTGGGAGAAGAAGAAGAAGAAGAAGAAGAAGAAGAAGAGCGAGAGGGTCGAGGCAAGAGGAAGAAGTCACTGCAGCAACCTGACTTCCTTGATCTCAAAGAGATGAATTGGCCTCTTGGTGATAATTCTGATGGTCATAGAAGTGATGAGGAGTCAAACAACTTCAACCGGCTCCACAGGGATGCAAAAATTAGCTGTCTTGTGCGTCTCTCACGGTCATATTATGGTGTGGCTGCATCCGTCGACCGTGACTTCCGCACGATGATTCGAAGCGGGGAGGTCTATTGGCTTCGACGGCACCTGGGGATCGCCGAACACTGGGTCTATTTCTCATGCAATGCCCCTCAATGGGAGGCATATGATCCCTACCAAAGACACTGGATTATGGTCCCTAGGATGCCCCCCAGTCCTACCGAAAGCTTTACTTTCTCAGATAAGGAGTCACTCGCAGTCGGCACTGAACTACTTGTTTTTGGCCAGGAGTTTAATTCCTACGTTGTGCTGAGATACAGCATTTTGACAAACTCTTGGTCCCCTGGAGTGGTAATGAATTCACCTCGATGTCTGTTTGGATCTGCTAGTCTCGGAGGGAAAGCTATCATAGCCGGAGGTACCCATGGTCGCAATATTCTGAGCTCTGCAGAGCTGTACAATTCTGAGACTCAGATGTGGGAGACCCTGCCTCCTATGAATAGAGCACGGAAGATGTGTTCGGGGGCTTTCATGGATGGAAAGTTTTATGTCATTGGTGGAATGACAAGTGATAATGAGGTGTTGACATGTGGGGAAGAGTATGACTTGGCTCGACGCTCATGGAGGTTAATTCCAAACATGTCTTCCGGTCTCAATGGTGCGAATGGTGCACCCCCGCTTGTGGCTGTGGTGAATAACGAGCTTTACGCAGCTCATTATGCTGATAAGGAGGTGATGAAGTACAATAAGGAGAATAATACATGGGCAACATTGGGAAAGTTGCCCGAGAGGTTTGTCTCGATGAATGGTTGGGGCCTTGCATTCCGAGCCTGTGGTGAGCGGCTTATCGTAATTGGTGGGCAGCGAGGAACTCATGGAGGAATGATTGAGCTAAATTCTTGGGTTCCAAATGGAGGGCCACCAGAGTGGAACATTATTGCTAGCAAGCATTCAGGGAGCTTTGTTTTCAACTGTGCCGTGATGAGTTGCTGAATCCTGTAATCTATAGCAAGGTGTATTTACTTTCTTGCAGGAAGGATGCACGAAAAATACTAATTCTGCCTTCTCTGAACATTCAACCGAATTGATGGCACAACATAGCTCTATTATCTCTGTAATCCTTGGTCTTTGTCATTCTTTTTCACCCCTTTCATTTATTTTGATCCGAAGCTATTTATGCAACTCTGAGAGATAGGAGCTTGCAGGACACTGTTAGTCAATAATTCAATGCAGTTATGTCTATTGATTACTTGTGATCCTAGGCCGATTTCATTTTTATATTTCACGTAGCATCCTTTAATGGTTCAAACTGATTGATTTTGCGTCGACGGAAGTAACAGAGTTCTTATGGGATTTAATTATTGTGATTTCTGGTACTGTTTTTATTGAATTTTAAACTGCTAACCTTTCAGCATAATTGATCTTCATTTTGAACTCTGTGATTAATTTGATCTGTCAACATTTATCCTTTAATCGAATGCTAGTAAGTTACATCTGTTGTAGGTATCTGATCAAAAGTATGTTAATGAGCTGCTGATCTTTGTCAATTTATTTTCTGTTAGTTTATTGCTCTGCTTTATCACGAAGAATCAGCGATCATACTTGCCTAATATGATATACTTAAGCAACTGAGTTTGTCCTTTGGCCAGAATCTCATCTGGTAGTAAGTGCATTTTATCTTAGATTGAGATGGTTGCATTCAGGACCCTTTTACCTGTCTTGTTTTTGCCGATCGATATGTGGTCTCGGGATCTAGGCTTTTTATGACTGGAAAATTGGTGCTAATTATTCTTAGAGATCGATCGAAAAGATGAAGTAATGGGTTGTTGCTGGTATTCCTTTCTATATCCCTAAATGATGAACAACATGCTGTGATCTTGTGATCTTAAGCTTTATTTTTTGTCCTGTGCATATGTATCTTATTTTTCATCCATAATTTGTGCTTCATTTCACATGGTTCCAGAGGTGAGAAGCAATTCTTCTTGCCTCATCCTGCTCTTGTTGGACTTTCCTGGATCAACTTTATTTTTCTGCCTGATGAGCCATCTGCAGACTCGAAATGATAGCAGAGCAATTAGCAAATCGGATATGCAATTAGGAATCAAATCTTTAAGATTATTGGTGGAAATAGAAATACATGGTAAAGAAGGATTAGAAGATCCACTTGATTTAGTTTACATCTGGCTAATAACTAGCAAAAATGCACAAACCATGTTCCTGGAAGACACACAAATACCTTCATCAGCTCGCATTTGATGTCTAGCATCAGAAACCCCTTCTAATCGGGAACTCTAAATGCTATCTTTTGCCCCCAACGAGAGCACAAAGCAGTCTTGAGTAGGCCATTTGACCATCCTAAGTAAGCCAAGAAAAAGAGAGCACAAAGTAGCTTCCATGATTCTGTTCATTCTAATGGTACATAGAAAGACATCTTTTTCCATGGAATGTCTTCTGGTAGATCCACATGGTACGGTGGATGGTGTCATCTCTGACTTTGCAGCCCCGTACGTTTGAACAGCAAGACCTCAGAATACTTCGAACGAAGTACAATGTACAGCAGGCTGTGCCATGGGTCGTCACGGTGACGATGCTGGTGCGCTTTCTCTGTGTCACGGTCGGCTTGTCTCTGCATCAATGAATCGATCGGTGACGCCCTTCATGGATCGGTTGGCCGTACGCACGATGTCCGAGGTGTGAAGAGGACGAGTTTGGGGCATGGAGGAGAGACATGACCTGGATGTGCACCAAATGGTCTGATTTATGAGCTGATGAGAGTTCTGAGACTTCACGTTCTCTTCTTCTTCTGCAGAGAAAGAAAAGGAAAAAGTTAGCCTCCAAAGACCACACGACTCCACATTCTTCTTTTTTCCAAAGGGGACGCTTCGTAGATTGAAGTCAGGTTGGATCAGAATCATGAGGATGAAATTATGCATGAAGAAGCAGACAATACCCCTTGCCCCCTACATTAGTTGAACATAGAAAAGGGAGCCGAAACGTACCCCATTGGCGTAGTAGTTCTTCACATGGAAAAGGGCTGTAGTAATAATCTATGCACGTGCGAAACAGGTTAAGAAGAGGAATGTATTGGAATCGGCCACGAAGAAGTTGATCACCATAACAAGAAGAGTGTAACAGATCAAGAATATCTTGGTATCACCAAAGTGATATACAGAAGAGAAGAAACAGAAAAGCTAGCATAGAGAGGTGACCAAAGACTTACTAGTTTAGGCCAGGCAATAATTTAGATTTAGATTCGATAAGGAAAAGAACAAGGTCGATGCAAAAGATGTGTTCTGGCCCTTCTCCAGCCGTTCATAAAATCTAAGCAGCCAAAGTTCACCTTCACCTTTTGGCTTGTCGAGTTCCATTCCTCTATGGCAAATAGATCATCAAAGAATCTATGATCCAGTGGTGGTAAAAGAACAACATAAACAAACATAATAAGCAAATGAGTGATAACCCTTCATCTGCATCAAATTTAACTAAAAGCCTACACAAGCAAAGAAACATGATATGGTGTTAGTCACTCATAGTATCTATGTGTTCAGCTGTCCAGGATTTTAGCAGGAAAAAAGGAATTTTCTTGATTGCTTGAATAGACAAAAACAATATACTTAAAAGCATTTCATTTCAAAAAAACTCGTGGCCTTTGTGCCATCAGCCAGCTTATGGTGTAATCCACTCGAGACAAGAATCAGGACGAAATTATCACAACCTCTAGATCTAGAGCATGACAATAAGCATTAACCATACACCGGCATCATCATCGTGGCTGATAATTAGTGAAGATCAAGCAACTATAGCCTACCATCAGAAAATTTCTTCGTAGTCAAATGCCTTGTATAGAACATTTATCTAAATGTAGATAGCCATAGTTCAGCAACCATTAAGCTTTCCAAAATAGAGAAATTTGAAGCATCAAATGTGGCTAGCCATACCATGGTTCACAGGAGAGAGAACTACCTCATCATTTTCATCTACATCAAAATCTTCCTCATCAGCTTCCTGCACCAACAAATGTGGCTAGCCATTGCATGGTTTGTCTTTCTTTCCCCTGTTTTTCATGATGCCAAGTAAAAGCAGTAGCTGTAGAATGTTAAGAGATAATAATATGATGGAAAAGAAGAGAATTTAAGAAACAAGACTAACATTGTTGAAGCATTTCAAGGGATCAGATCATAAATTTTCTTTTATAATCCCAGCCACCTGCATGTATACAAGAAGAAAAATTGTTGTGATAATTTCATATAGCCATGCCTCAATAAAAATTTCATTTCATGAAACAAGCAAATGATTGAGTCTATGACAATTGCTGAAAATTCACCACATCAAAGAACCCCTCTGAAAGTTTTTTCTGTTGGGTTTCAGTGAACCAGGCATAGAAACTGCTTCACAAAATGGGAGAGTGGATAAGTAAATCCCAAAAGTAAAAAACTGACAAGATCATAAGCAATTATCAAAAAAACCAGAGCGGATAACTAACTATCTTTACATGTTGAATTAGAAAGTGTGAAGATGATAAGAACAAAATAAATCCAACCAAATCATTTATCAGAGCACATGCTCACTATGTTAATGGATTGTGGTAGCACCAAGTACATCAGTAGCTTATCAAGAACTATGCTTTGTTCCATGTTAAGCTACTTACCCGAAATAAGATACTGCTTGTATTCAAGCAACAACACTATGTACACAACCCTTTTTGTTCAAGTTAATTAACTATCGAACAAAAACATATCTGCATCATGGAATGATGGCAAACAAGATGTGCAATGTATAAGTGTCTTACAAGATGTGCAAATTGGTTGCATGCCCAATTACTGGGAAAGAAACTTAGCAACTAAACCAATAACAAATTAGTTGATATAAGTAGCATGATATTCCAATGGACTAACATACAAGATACTGAGGCACAAAACTAACCTTTCTACAGCTAAGGGTCTCTTACCCCCTTCCTTTTTTTGTGAGCAACACCACTTGCAATATTCTTAAAATAAAACAGGCAGAACTATAAGACACAACAAGGGAAGAAGTAATCCAGAAAGATAACTCCAGAATGCCCTTACCACTCCCTCCTTCCACTTTGTTATTGTACCAATTATGGTAGTTGTCCCATTGTCAAAGAAGGAATATGTCTGTCAAGATAGAAGACGATAGAACAAACGAGACGACAAAGAATAACACTTTCCATTAACGAACCGACGACTTCCATCCACAATCAAGAAGAATCAGCTCAGGTTTCCAGCAGTCTTATGCTAACACCATTAGATTAAGCGAAATGCCATAGAATCTTTGGATCAAGTAGTAAAACAAAATCATGTCCGAAAGCAAAGGAGAATGGAAAGCTCGTTACCATCTCGATGGAGAGCACGAGCTCGCCATCGATGTGATCGGAGGCCTCCTCCTCCACCTCCGACTTATGCTCCTCTGCCGCTCCCCAAGTCCATGGACTCACCCCACTAAAACCCTAACCCCGATTCCGAAAGCGTCGAAGGAGAGAGAGAGAGAGAGTCACCGGCGGGCCTCGAGACCTAAAGAGAAATCGGCAGTGTGGCCGTCTAAATTGTAAGATCTCGTCACCCTCCCTAAATTTACCTCGATTTAAACATCCGAGAGGGTGAAACAGGACAAAAGATTTAGCGGGAGACGGTCGGAGGTTAGACTACGCAAGGTGAAGGTAATCGGAGATAGTCGCGGGTGCGGATGTTGGTAAACGCGACCCGATCCGTTCGTCCCCGCGGCCGTTGCTTTCGACGAGTCGATTCCGCGAACGACTCAGGTTACGGTTCTTCGGAAATAACCAATCATAACACTGATACTGCGGTGCGCACCAACTCTTTAGTGGTATCCACAATGAGGTTGACCAGTAGAATTACGCCACGTACGGGACAATGTGGCAGATGATTCAGCTTGAATCAATGGCAGCCACAACGCTGCTTGCGGTTCTTAGTCTCGCATGGGCGGCTGATTGAGATCAATATAAGACCAAAAGAGAGAAAATTTCTGTGAGCAATTGTAAGCGTATTACAATGTGATTGGGAATTCAACTAAAGTATCATAAGAAACATCGATTATTTGCCGTCTGTTGTGAGAAAACAAGAAACAATTTCTCAGCTCTTGTGTTTGATTGGTCGAGCTTCCAACCCTCCCTCCTTCCTCTTCTCGAGCGAGTAGGGCATGTAGGTGCCCAGAATCCTGTCCCACATAACGAAGAACGGCTGCGAGAAGTTGTACTTGCTGCCATAGAGTTGGTGGTGGACGTCATGGTAAGCGCTGTTGTTGCTGAAGAGCGCATGGAGAGGGTTCCCAGGGAGCCACAGCCCGCAGTGGTCGTCGACGGTCTTGATGGTGGCGAAGGAGAAGAAGAAGATGCCTGTTCGGGGTGTCATGCCTGAGACGAGGAAGGCGAGAGCTCCGCCGACGGTGTCCAGCAGAAGGCCTTCCAGTGGATGGTTGAAGAGCGCTCCGAAGGCGTAGGGGACGACGAGAGTGTGGTGCTTGGAGTGGATGTGCTTGTACAGGAACTTGTTGATGTGCATGTACCTGTGCATGAAGTACTGCCATGTATCGAGCACGAACATGGCGACCAGGAATTGCACGATGATGGCGAGGAAGGAGGGTTGTGGCTTGGCGATCCCGCTGCCGTCGCTTATGACCTGCATGCACGGAGCTAAGGATTGATCGATGCACTTCATACACAAGAACTCCATTTGTGCTCGAAAGGGAAAGGAAGGGAGGAGTGATTACAGCGAAGAGGAGAAGGGAAACAGAGATCTGGAAAGCCTGCTGAACCAGGACGCCTTTGACGACGGTCGATTTGGAGACGATGTTCTTCACGTTCTCCTCGGCCTTGGTGTGCAGCCGATACTTCTCCAGATCACCCAGCAAGACGTAGATTCCAGAGTAGATCCAGTACACGGCGATGGGGACGAACGTGCCCAGTAGTTCATCTGACACTGCAAACGCCATGGCAGATGCTCAAGCTAAGACTTTGCCTGTTGCACCATGAGCAAGTGTTGCCATCCTTATAGAAGAGATGGAGTTGTCATCCCCAAGAGGACGGCATGTTGATGGCACAAAAGGTTTGACCACCGAAGGCCAAGTCCAAAACGCACCATTTCAAATGATAATTTGCAGCCATTCAAGGAAGCGTGTAATGGTCAAAGTAGCTTACTTGACCCGTTTTTGACTTCTCCACTGTTGCCAATCCTGAAAATGTTTTCTTCGACCGATTACATGAAGAGGGTTGGTTGAGTTGTACTGTAGAGAGATTGGGTCAATTGACCTCTTGGATCATGGTTGCATGGTTTGGCATACAGCTTTCCAAGGTTCATGCCGTTGACCAAAGAATATGCTTTGAGTCAGCTTATATAGATGAAAGAGTTGTTTTATTTTTATATCCTTTAAAAATAAGTAAATGAATTATTCTTATAGTAATTATTTTCAATCCTAAAAGAACTCTTTTCTAATTAATGTGGCCAAAAAAGATAAATCTCTCTCTCTCTCTCTCGCCATGTCGGGCATAGACTTAGACGATAGAGACTGCGTGTTGACCAAGTCCACAGCTTATAAAATAATTACATGTAAGATTGTTTGATTGACATAAAAGTAATTACAGAACCTCCTTGTTATATTCAACTGCGACATCATGTCAGCACTCATTAATACACAGTCCTGTAACTTTCTCGTTCAGCACTCATTAATAATCTTGGACTAGAACTTCATAGTCAGTAGAAGCAACATCGCAGCCAAAAACCACAGATCTCTTCTTCATGACAATCTACCAACGAAGAGGAAACACCAGAAGTAATGATGGCAACTTCATCATTACAAATAAAAGGGAGTTCTGATAGAAAAGCTTAAGGCCTCTAAGCAAACAAAACATTGTTACAAGAACTCCAGCTAAAGAATTTTCCCTTGTTTGAAGTTGGCTGATGAAATTGAGGAGCCATTTGATGGTGGCATTGCAGGAATTAAAGCTGGATCAAGGATCAAATTACGTGGAAATGATGCCGACTTCTGGGACCAGCAGCATCCCTCAATGCTTGTCTTTCTTACTTTTGTTTCCACCGACCCAGTACTGCTTAACGGCGACCAATATCTTCTCCGGAACAAGGGGGCCATCCTCATGGTCGACCAACTTAATGTTCCATCTCATGCCACCGACGATCTTCTTTACCTTAATCAAGACATCCACATCATCACGGAATATGACTGCACCCTCTGGACGCAAAATTCGGTCCATCTCAAGAAGAATGTCTTCCATTTTGCACCTGGTATAATTGCATAAACATATAAGAGAATCTGAAAAATTGATGCACCAGATGCAAATGAGTAGACCATCATGTGATTACATAGTGAACCAAAACCCAGCATTAACTTACTTGTTCCGGTACAAGCTGAAAACACCATTGGCATGTATGAGATCATATGTCCTTGGGTAAGTTGAAAAAGCTTCGCACCTAAACCAAGAAGCAAAAGAGTTAAAAATGGAAGGCAGGAGATCAAATACCAGAGGTGTTGAAACAAAGTATAAAACACAATCTAGCAAACGATAATGAAAGACTACTGAAGTGGCTATTTCATAGAGAAGTCATCAAGGAGGATGGCACCTAATAACTTTAAGGATGACGGTTAAATCATAATAAGTAAAAAGAGGAAATTTACAATTTGAGCAGGCTCAGAAAATTTGACAGCAAAAGGAAATTCTTTAGTATTGTGAGTATTCAGCTTGTTTCGTTTGAGTGTCTACATTCTTAAAAAGAAACATTAAGCAAACACATACCAGTCATGATATATGCCGATTAACCCACGGTCATAAATAACACCTAATGTAGACATCTCAGCAATTGTAGGAACAACATTCATCACCCATAATTTTGGAGACTCAATTGCTGCTGCAAAGCTACCCAAACCTGCATTCATATCCATTATGTTGCGGTACCTTCCCGTGTCAAGTAACTTATTGATTTTCTTATAAGCTTTAACATGCTTTTGCCACAGTTTGACATCTCCTTGATAAGATTTGACTGAGAAATCAGGCACAGAACCACTAGCTATTCTAGGTGGAATAGCTTTTAGCCTTTGAGGGAATGGCTTCAATTCACCTCCTGCAACCTCTTCAGCACTACTAACTTCAGGATATTGGTTAACACAAGATTCCATCTTCTTGTACCTAAGATAACCAAAATGTGTTAAATGCTACAGAAAAAATATCTAATACAAAGGCAACTTGGAGAAACACAGAAAATGTTCACAATTTATTGTTCAAATTTTTTAGATTTATTATCTCAATTTACTGGAACTACTCAAATATTACAATAGAGAAGAAACTAATTGGAGTGCGCACTATATATTGCAGTTACCATTTACAAGAAGTGCTTTAGTCACCCACAAAGGAAACTAAATAAAGACAACTTAGTCAGCATAAAATGGGAAGACAAAAGATCAAAATAGTGTGCTACATAGCAGGTGTAAGATTGATGGTTGGATCACGTGGGTATCTTTTTTGAGTTTCATCTGTGGGTCTCTAAACAACTGCACATCACTCAGAAGCAGTGAACTCTAAACTGGTTCACGTTCAATAACATCAGCAAATTTATTTTGATATCTGTGTCTAGTTTAAGTTAGCCTGTCGATTCATATTACTTTAGACAGCAACAAATATATAAGTAATGCGTATCACAATTTAAGGACTTTACAGGTAGGACCAGATGAGTGGAAATAGTTCTATTAAGGGAAATTTCCCTGGTAACAACATCAAATCAGCTTAGTGAGAAAATTAAAATAGAAAAAAAATTATCTGACAAAAAATTTATATCTGATAAAAAATTGCAATGGTGGGAGAAGAAATATAACCTACCAAACATCATCAGGGTTTGTTGCTTTGCATACATTTATGGGGTTTTCATCTTGCCTTCCAGGGCAGGATTCAGCATTGATTCTCTTCCTCCAAATGGCGATTTCTCCCTTCTCGGAAATCTTTTCCCAGCAAAGAAGTTTAGCGATTTCCTCTATCTTCTCTTGTTCCTCTGAAAGATCCTCTTTTGTACGCTGCCATGCCTGATAGTTACTCTTCCAGTTAATTGGCGGGCCTGAAAGTACCCAATAACCACCAGGCCTGAGAACCCTATCCACCTCCATCATGTAAATTCCATCTGACGAGAGAAAATACCAAAAAAGTGTTAGAAATATGGCCAGAACAAATCAGAGAATGGAGTTTCGCCAAGAGCAAATCAACGAATAAAAAAGAAGAAACATTAGCTCTCACCATTTGCACCCCACGGAATCAAGCACCTTGAACAGTGAGCCATATCAAAGGCTCTAGATGGGTATGGAAGCTTAATTGAGCCAAGGACACCAATAACTGCAGGAACACCTCGTTCTAGCGCGAACTGTACCTGTGCCTCATGAGAGTCCCTTGGTGCAAACGACATGGCTAACACATTCCTTTTCAACAAATAAGCACCCCAACTAGCAACCTATGCGCAATTAATGACAAATTTTATCATTAATGCAATGACTAAAAGTTTCCAAAATAAAAGTCTTGCACAATTAAAATGAATCGATAAAAAAAGAGGATTAAACGATTAGTTATAGCATACCCCGCAACCAGTGTCTAATGCAGTTCTGACAGTTCCATTAGCAATTGGAATAACAGATGCAAGTTGGTCTATATATTTGTCTGCGCCTTGTGGGAACTGCGTTCCTCCGCCAGGAAACCTGAATACATTGCCCTCATACTGAACCCAATTCTGAACAGCCTTCTCGACTGTCAAGCTCTTGTATGGGACATTAGCATAGGGAACATAATCACGGCTCTTAGGCCATGGAAAAGGGGCAACATATCCCTTAGGTGCTGGTATAAGACAATACAGTTTCTCCTTATCAAGCGGGCAATGTCTCTCTCTGTAGATCATGTTCTCTCGTGGGAAGGTCATGGCCCGCTTTTGATCCTGGCAAGGAGTGTAATCAGTGTAACGGTCATGGCACGCCTCAAATGTCTTGACTACTGAATCACCAAGATCACTAAGGCTGCCTGATCCACCATGGTGGGTCTCAAAGTTTAGATTCGGTGAAATTGTGCATTCTGTCTGCTGAGTAACCTGTAGTGCAATACTATCACCCCTCCCAAAACCACTCCTCTGCCATGCACCCAAAACATAGAAAAAGCAACAGAGGCCGACCACAATAATTATGGTTAATGAGCTCCTGGTCCTTCCCTCTCCTGAACTCGACTTTATAGCCATTCCGTGTGCCTGAAAAATATTTCCTAGATTATTAGAACCGATCCAAATTCCAGTTAAAATTAGACTTCTATCATCTTTTACCAGCCAAAATGAAGTCGAAGAACAAAAACGGATCTGCTCACACACTCATACACGCAAAATCATACTGATCTAACTTAAATTTGTGCTAAGAAAAACACACACAAAAAAGACACAACATAACTCTTCAGCAACAGATTGCAAGAGCTAACAAGAAACTAATGACGTCTAAAAGATCTCCAGATTAACATATAACAAGTATGCGAAAGGCATGTATCCCAAGATGTAATTTTTCTCTACCAATAGTGAAGCCCTTCACTGAAGCGGCAAGCATATGCCCCGAGCAGCCAAACCACACTTAATTTCATGAACGAGCTAAAGGCCAGAACAACTCTGAAGGCAGCTTCTTTAAGACAAAATCCCCAAAATCTAGCAATAGAATTCCTGTCTAAGTGAACCCAGCTCTGGAAATCCAAATCACTAAAACACCACTAATTCTCACTTCCACTCCACAAACCAACAAGATCCAAGCACCACGCTGTAAAATTCTCTCTCAAGCAGCTCAAATTCGAGCGGCCGCGGCAATAAAACGAAAGAAGATCAGCATGACTCAGCAAAGAAGAAGAGAAAAAACGAATCGAACGAAGCGAGAGAGAGGAACAACAATGGTGGAGTTCGAAAAGGCGTCTTACCGATTCCAACGCCAACCGAAGAAGTGGATCCGTGATCGACCAAGACAGCTCCAAGCCGACCTCGTCGCCTGCGTTTTCCCCGAGGATGCCGAAACCCTCGATTCGATCGGGCGAAACCCACTGCGGGACTCGACCTGGTCGTCCTCTTGGATTCGAGTCTTAATAACGTATATAAAAATCCCAGTCGCGGCTATCTCCGCTGGGTCCCACGTCTCTAGCCGCGTAGAAAATGAATGCGGATGATCGTCAGCCGTCTATCTACAATATGGACGGCGGAAGATTGTCTGCGTAGTGATTGCATGCAATCGTCCGTAGGATGCTGGCGTCATCCCACCGACGACATTCCCCGAGAAGGGGCGTCTGTCTGTGTTTTATCAAGTCCGGTTACCGCGGTGAGATTACCCTAGAGCTACCGCCTGGTGCCCGTTCAGCTACTATGCTTTGGATACAGTTTGGAATCGGTCAGTATATGTCGCGGTACTAGTGGTCCAGGTTTCGAACACTGTCAATAAAAGATTGACACGTCTTGAATAGTGCTGCTTTCTGTTCTGGGCCAAGCAGCTCTCCTACGCTTTCGATCAGCCTATTCTTGTGTGGGATGGGATACAAGTCGATTACACCAAGACAACGTTGAGTTCCTTCGGTTAGCTGCCACGCGGACAAAGAGCACGCGGAATCGTATGCGTCTCGTACGGGATGTCGGACACTGATGGTCAATAGGCCATCATCGTGTCCTTGACCGATCAGCTGCATCTTCTTATTGCACGCGTATTGTAAAGAACAAATAGAATAAGGAAGCGTGTCTAAGCCAACGTTTCGTCTTCCACGCGGAGGACGGCGATCGTCCAAGCGAGAGAATACGGTGTTTGGGGCGCGCAGGAGATGAATGCGGAAGTAATCGGGGGCGTCAAGTCCATTGGGTGAGTTGGAACGCACGTAACGGTTGATGATTTCAAATGACTAATTGTAAGTATTTAAGTACAAATTAATAATAGCAATGTGTTTTTAGCTATTTTCGTTTTTTTATATAAATCAATTCAGTTGTCCTTTATATCTATAGTTCTAAAAAAAAATCATATATAAGAGAATGATTTATAATTTTTTTAAAGTGTTTTATGAATATTTTGTTATTCATTTTAACAAAAACTTAAATACTTTTGATTTAAGCAAATATATTATTTTTTATAGAGCTTAATAACGAGCAATATTATGGTTTTGTTATTGTTATCAACTTTTTTATGCTCCCAAAGTGAATTTTTATACCTTTCAAAGAAAAACTTAAATATTTTTTATTAATTTTTCTAAAAAGTCTTTATTTTTTAATTTTTCCTGGGAGGTGCATCTCCTTTTTAGTTATCCAATGATTTTTTTCCCTCTAATATCCTAAATATATCTCACTCGTCCTAATAAAATAATTCCTTTTTACACCCTATTGATCGATCAGCACTGATCCAAGTTGTTATAGTGTTTCAAAATATTATTAGAAAAACACTATAAGAGCCCTTATATATATTTTTATATATTTTTTGTTACGTACAATGTCAATAAATGTATTTGATCATAATTTATATATAAAATATATTTGATATAAAATATTTCAACATCAATCACAACTAACCAGCGGTAAGGAACCGACACGAAAGATAAGGCGAGGTCACTAGCGCTCGTCCCCTCATTGGCATTTACGAGTAATAGCCAACAAGAAATCGTCTGAGCTCAACCCTATCAAATGATAAGATTGGTAGACAACACTTCATTTGTCGTTCTCTGTAGTTGCCATGTCGCAGGAGCCATACGGATCGATCGTCCACTTGAATACGTCACAGAAGGACGTACGAGTAGTCCTTGTCATCGACAATCCCTTCCTACTCGCTTTGTAGATATAAAAATCGATCCTTGATCCTTGAATAGGGATGGGACTCGAAGCCCCAAAATAGTCCTCACTCTGATCACTAATTCGAGTGTTGGAGGGATCGGGTTGAAAAGTCTCACCCCTCAAACACCGACCTATTGTGCAGGGCCCTCGAGGAGATCAAAACTCATTGTAACCTTTTTGTTTTTGAACGACCTTAGAAGCACATAGGTTAACTCAGAACCGCTCATGCTAGCTTCTACCCAACACTAACCTTCTCACTTGGCCATCACAAGAACATTTCTGAAAAATCTTAAGTCTTCGAGATAAGATCAAGCCATACCGATTCTCAATCAGTCCATGGTATCAAAGTGTTAACAATGTTGTATCTAAAAAATAAAAAATATTATGAAATAATAGACTTACGTGAAACAAAGTTCTATATAGACACATATGCTGAAATATAAAATGCACTTATCTATTATTGACATTGTATGCATTCAAAAGAATAAAAAGAATTATTTGATAATATATTTATAATATATTTTCTATTTATATATAATATTTTTTGTATATAAATAAAAATATTATAACAATGTTTCAAAATTGTATCAAATATCTCGATGTAAATTATATCGCTCTCCATTTATCGATATTGTATAAATGAAAATTTTCACAAGAATTTGTATGATAACCCCTTTATATTTTTTTTATTGAAAAAATAATATTTTATACATATCAACGAAAGTAATATAATAACGTTTCAAAATAGTGCAATTGACTTTTTATAACTTGCATCAAACACCTCAATGTAAATTTTATATATATATATATATATGAACAAAAACAATGTAATGGCATTTTAAAATAGTGTAATTGATTTTTTATAACATGTATCGATTATGTTTATATTCATTTATTGACATAATAGGCAACGAAAATAATCACAATAATTTATATCGTGACTCATTTATTGTATTTTTGTGTTGAGATATAATATTTTTCGTATGTACTAAAACACTGTAACAGTGTTCTCAAATATCGTAA